TTCCCCCTGCAAAAAATAAAAAAGGAAGAATGAGTAGTTACCTGTATGGCAAGCTCTCTTGTAGGGCAAATAATGATCACACCAGTCCCATTTCGAGGAGTAAAGCGGATTTGGTATAACAACTCAACGGCCGGCAAAAGAAAGGCAAGCGTCTTTCCCGAACCTGTTCTTGCAGCTCCGAGAACATCTTTGTGCTCCAATAGTGGTGGAATTGCTCTAGCTTGGATCTGCAATTGCAATAAAAAGTAACAAAGAATATAAGTTCCACATGAACTATATAGATACGATATTACAAATACGATTATCTGCATAAAGGTTAATCTTTGCTTCATGCATGAGAAGTGAAACGTAAATATTTCTCTTGCAAAGAGATAATATATATACATATGCACAAAATGGATAAATACATGCATGCACAGGCAAATAGGAAGCGTAAAATGCAAAATGAAGCACAGGAAAAATATATTCCCATTCTTGCATTCCTAAGGTTTCTCAATAGGTAGCTAGTAGCATGCCAATATTGATAAGACAATCAAAACCTCCCATGTGATAACTGATAAGTGATGTGGAAAAGTATTCCCTACACTTAGTGTGGTTTTTTTCTTTTTCGTTTTTCTTCACACTCGTATGACTTTGATTAAATAGAATTCATAAGAATAAACAAGAAGGAATCCATAAATAGCAGGGTGTAGGAATGGCTTTTACAAATTTTGAAGTTCAGCCCTTCTTTTATTATGGTCTCTATGTCAAAACTTCCACAAACAAAGGGGCAGCATCTTTTCTTAGTTTAATTCATTAACCTTCATTTTGTTGCTGAAATAATGGAGGAAACATGAAAGAAAAAATTATTGAAACTTTTGAAATTTTTTGTGTATTGGTTTCAGAACTGTGAAAACTAACTTAATTCAACCAAAGAGTTGCATTCAGCTCAGTCAAGTTAGATTTATTTTATTCAAGTCGAGAGAAGCTGAAATTTTATTCTACAATTCCCCAAGCAACCAGACACAGCAACAGAATCAAATAAAAGACGTTCCAAATCTGTAGTGGAATAAAAGCCAAAGTCCGTGCTTTACTCTTCAGGATCAGTTACTGGCCTTTTGAGAGGCCAGACGAACACATAATAGGACTCGCGGACATGAGAAACAAGAGCTGGTCCCGATGTAGGTATCTTGTTGAGCAAAAATAAGTAATACCCATATTGTAACATATGCATTGATAAGAATTATAACCCTGCAGCCAACTGGATAGCCTTTTGACCTGATTGAAAGCTAATTACAGATATAAGCAGCAAACTCAATCCCATCTAACAGTGTTTCCTTACTCTAAAATCTCTTATAATAATATCTATCAAATGCTTACTTTCCTATGTGTTCCTTTTTCTCAATTAGTTAGCTACCAAATGGAGGGTGAGAATAGGGGGAAACATATAATTCAATTTTAATCTATCCAGATTTTACAAAATGAAATTTAAACTAAACTAAGTCATAATGAACCTAGTCTAAGCCAATTAACTAGGATGGAAAAATAAAATCCTCAATTTTATTTATTTATATATTTATTATTATTTCCATCAAAGAGCTGATTCTATCCGAACAGAGCTCAAAGAGGAACATAATAAAATACAGCTCCACAAGGAGCTATTGCAAACAAACATCAATTTAATCAAATCAAAAACAATGTACAAGTGTTTTTACCTGAGTCATGTACGGAAAAGTGAGAAAACCAAAGCCTTTAATAGCTTTCATCGTGAGTTCAGATATAACGGGAAGCGAAGCAAACGATTCGGTACTCATAATTCCAGACCCAATCTTCACCTTCTTCTTAATCGTTTTCTCACTTTCTTCTTCTCTCTCCTCTTCACCCCCATTCTCTTCACCACTTTCATCATCATTCTCAACCAACCTTTTCTCTCTCTTCAACTTGCTCTTCTTTGTTTCATCTCCGTTGGCCCTTTCCTCTCCGATTTCTTCTTCTTCGACCAGAGTTGTCTTCTTCTTATCTCTCTTTCGCTTTCCATTCTTCTTCCTCTCTATGGTTTCGTCGTCGAAGATGGTGGTGTTAGGATTTAATTCAGTTACTGCCATGGCGGCCACCGTTTCTGGGTTATTCGGGTTCGAAGGTGGTGTTCAGGCTTTTGTGGTTTACCGCGAAGGTTTTTGTCTTTATAGTTTTTGCAGGGTTTACGGGAGGTAGGTGCTATGCCAAAAAGACCCAAAGCGCTGCGTTGATAAAAGTGCTTTAGGAATAAATTCGGTTACACAAATAAGTTTGAGATTTTTTATTTTTTTATTATTTTCTATCAGTACTAATGAAGGAAGTGGTAGGTAGAGAAAATAGGTTACACAAATAAGTTTGAGATTTTTTATTTTTTTTATTATTTTATATCACTAATAAGGAAGGAAGTGGTGCGTAGAGAAAACAAGAAGGAATGAATGAACTTCCTTTATTATGTTGAAATTATTATGTTGAAATAAAATAAGAAAAACAAAAAATATATGAAAGATGGCCCATCATTTTTTCTTTATAAATTTTCATTCGCCTAAAAATAGATAGAAGAATAGAGGGAAAACAAGTGGACTATTATAAAAGTTTTAAATTAAATAATATATAAAATTATGCAAGTTTTGAATTACTATTATCCTCTATGAATTATAATATTATAAATATTATTGGATATGATACTAAAAACAATTAAAATGTTCTCTTTCCTTCCTTCTTAAGGAACGGAAACTATAATCTTATTCTCTTCTCTTTTATCCAACCAAATAAATAGAAGGAAATGCATAACCCCTTCCATAGGATGTCTCATCCTTCCTTTCTTCTTTTCTTTCAATCTAATTTATTAAAAAAGTTTATTTATGACATATCTATTCAAAAATTACAATCGGTAAAAAAAACATGTTAATGTGTTTGGTGACCTATTTATAATAAGTATTTTTTATACTTAAATTATTTTTAAATTTGTTTAGTAATAATATTTTTTTAAATAATTGAAGTATTAATTTTACAATAATATCCTTTAATATAATATTACCATATCTAATAATAGCAATTTTATAAAATTAGGACGGAATAAAATAGGATAAAATTATCCAAGGAAAAATAATTACCTAAAATATACTATGCACAATGAAAATTTCCAAAATCTAGCTTCATTTAAAAGTTTTATTGAGCAAAAATTGGTAACCTTCAGAAGTGTTTTTAATTGTTATCATACACACTTACATGCAATTTTTTTTAAAAAAAATTGAAACACTTTTAAGTAGTTGAAAAACAATCTCAAATGGGCTCCAATTATACTGATAGAAGTGTTATAATAAAAAATAATAAAAATAATAATAATAAAAAACCACCCTTAAACGAACACATGGGGGTTCATCACATAAAAATGAACCTAACTTATACGAATCTCCCAAATTACTTAAATACCCATCTATGTATGTGTGCGTATGTATGTATGTATATATACAAGGCCATCTGTGTATGTGTATGTGTATGTGTGTGTGTGTGTGTGTACAAGGGAGGCCAAATTTTTCGGCCATCCAAGCAACCGGAGACCTCTTCTCTTCTCAGGTCACCCAAATCTGACGCAGGCCCAACAATGGGTAGACATGTGAGTGCTGAAATGGTGGTCCCACCAATGTATCATTGATCAATGAATAAGTCTTTATGACAAATCATAAAAGGAGGTTGGTGTAATTAACTTTTTTTTTTTTTTTCTCACATTATCTTATAATATTCATAAATTTTGCAAAATTAAACCCTTAAATTTTAAAATAACAAAATAGAAAATTCATGCAAAATTGTTTTAAGAAATAACTCATTCGATAAAAATATATATATATTTTAATCTTATCAAAAAAGATAATTTATTCAATAAAGATAAAAATAAAAAAATAAAAAAATAAAAATTAACTTTCTCTTTTCGTATATTTTTTCTTTCTCTTTTGGAATCTTGACAAAAGAAATAATTTTTTTAATAGTTATTTTTTATTATTTTAGTCCATCAGGCAATTTATTCAATATAATTTTTATTTTCCTGAAAAAAAAAAAAAATCTCGTCATAAGAGACCTTAAATATTGAAGATTATAGATAAAGAGATGAAATTGAAAGGACAGTTGTGTCATTTAAAAAGTAATAATTATTTTTGTAAAGTTACTCGCCTCCCATAATGAATACTACTTTACTTATTCAACAAATTTGATTGGTTGATAGAAGTTGATTTTCAATTACATAATAGCTAGTTCAATAACTGCTTCGCAGCAAAATAATTTTTTTTCATTCACTTTACTTTTTTTTTTGTTTTCCTTTTTCCATCTCCTTTCTTGCTCTCTCTATCTAACCAAATGGAGTGAAAAGTTCTAAGTTAGAACAAATGGGAAAAAAAATCCTAATAATTGTACATGACTGGCTTAATTCGTTTATGCATGAAAATTAAAAATTTTCTAAAAACAAAAAAGAAAATATTTTAATAATTTTGAAAGTTGAGTTATATAAAAAATAAATAAAAATAAAAAACTAACAACAATAATTTAAAAGCAAAATTGCAACAATAATACAAAAACCAATCCTTATTTAAGTCAATCAAATAAGTTCAATTTATAACAACCGTTGAGTTGTTGACCATACCTGTAGCTAGCTAGCCCAATTCCATGATTTGGTGCTCACCGGCCAGCCAGTTAGATTATTTTATTATTTTTATATTTTAATATTTCAAGTAAAAAAAATTAAAAAAATTTCATAAAAAATAATGACAGAATCAAAAAGGAATCATCAAATTAGTTCGAATTTGACGAGATTGGTCATTCTTATCACGTGTTAAACAATTATTTTTAAAAAATGTTTCAAGTAGATGAGGTAGATAAAACCACGCTACTTATTCGAAAATAATTCATCGGTCTCCCTATCATTATTCTAAAAATAAATTATATATAAAAGGAAACAGTGAAGGAAAAAAAAAAAAAAAAGATTGATGAGTTTCATTTTTTTGAACCAAATAGAGATTTTGTAGCACATTGCAGTGGAGCCCATTTTCAAAATCAGTGTAATATTACATCATTGAGGAATAAATTAATAAATAAAAAAAAAAAAACAAAACAAAAAATAGTGCCACTTCATTGAGAAGGAAAATTACTCAACACAAAAAAAATTTGGAGAACAAGTCTCGCATTTTTGCTGATGCATGGTTTTGCTAATACCTTACATATTGCCGAATAGCATCTTCACCTTTTTGCTTCCCATAAGGGTTGTTCTCACTAAATCCATGTCGGATTCCATCAACTTTACGCGCCGTCTTCCTGAACTTGGATGCGCTGCTGTCTATACTTAGATGTATCTTTGGAGGGCAGGAGAAGCAGAATGAACCAGCAACAGCCTTCCATCAACCAACAAATTCATTGTATTTAGTATATAACAGCATCATAAAGCTCTACCATATTCTGTGTCTACATGTCAACTAGTCATAAATAATTTACAAATACCATATTCTGAGTAATTCAGAAGCTATTTGTAACATTTATCAATTCAAAATTGTACGGGAACAACGTGATATGACCCAAAAAAATTTCTAGAGTTTAAATTAAATTTAAAATTGCAATAGTTCTGTGTTCCTAAGCTTGAATCATCCCACAAAACATTTGGCAAAACTAAATTATTCCGATGGGAATCAGGTGCATATCCACTTTTCGAGCATCAAGAGTAGAGTAGAGTCAAATCCGAATGGAGAAATTCCCCTAGATAAGAGACCAATTAATGAGAGAACATTTTGGAATATCCCTTCTACATCCTCTTCTAAACCACAGCATGAGAGATGTGATATAGAGAAACTAAGAGAAATGAACTAGAAGAGAGGGGTTGAGCAATTAAATGAAAGAGATAAGTCATATGACAAATAGCAGATGGTCACCCGGAATCAAAATCGACCCACCCCTCCCACACCTTAAAACTGAAAGAAGCAATTTATGCTTCATTTAATTTCCAAGGAAGTGAAGCTCAAAATTAGATTTTCTTTTCCTATTGCCTCCAGAAACAGATTGAGTAGTTCTAATTCCAATCTGGCCCTCAAATCCAGCCCCAACACTGCAAACCAATCATGGCCTCACTAGAATTCATATTTCTTATTCCATTTTAACATATCTTTAATCGTCAGCAATTAGACTCTAAACCCCTTAATCACACCGGTCTCTTTTAGATGCAGCAGCACTTTTCCCAAGTGCTATAATTGCTTGGTTCTTCTATCTACATGCATGAATTCATTTGAAAAGCTAAACAACTTTAGGCTGCCTTCAATCATGAATTCATTTAAAAGCATGTTATAAAACAGTAAGATTATACATGAACATAATTGCCATTTAAAAGGTCAGGAAAAAAGGTTGGTACCGTCAGATCAAGGCGATGAACATCAAAGATGTCCTTCATAGAATGTGAATTGTATGCTAATATGTAAGATCTATACGCATCCTTAGCGGACTTGTTTAAATAATAGTTGTTGGCCACCAACTTTTCCTGCATCAATCAAAATTGTCCATTTTTAAGGCCCAAACAGTAAGACATCGCCGGAGAAAATAAAGTGAAACATGCTGTGAAGAAGATATTACCAGGTGAGACTTCACTTTTGCCAGCTTATTCTCATCAAATTCGTACTCTTTAACAGGCACTTTTGCAGTCTGATATAAACAATAAAATAATATTTCAAATAAGAATACTAGTCAAACCTCAGATACAATTAAACCAAGTTAAAAGATTGCTTTTGTTTATTTTCTTTTATCCATGGATTATAACAGCGGTTGCTTTTGAATTTTCCAGCGCACCCTCCTTGAGGGATTATTGTTTAATAATGCAATTAAGGAAATTTTATATCCTTTCAGTGCGTTAATAAAGAAGAGAATTCCTCGCCATCAAAGATTTAGGGGGTTACCATCCCAGCCTTCATTTGGTTTCTTTTCTGTTTGGTCATTTATTTTTTTCACAAAATTGCATTTCCTCACATGGTAAAGTATACAGACCTTAAGGTAACTAAGAAACTTCAATTCTTCCGGAATCAAGAAAAGCAAAGCATTTCCTTTTGCACCTTCACCACGGGCAGTTCGACCAACTCTGTGAATGTATTCCTAAAAGTAGTTACCCAAAGGAACATGTTTCAACAAGGAAGTATAAGAATGGGGACCGTAACAATATATAGATAAATATAAGTATTAAACCTCGAAAGAAACTAATCACCTTGGGTTCATCTGGGGGATCATATTGCACAATCCAATCCTGCAAGTAGAGAAAAAAGAAAAAAGAATAATTCAGTCTTCATAATTTGTTTTATTTCTTCGATAGATGACAATAATTGATCTATGACAACCTTTCACATTTTTCAAATAATTTTGCCAAAAGATGCATTATATAAGCAAATAGCAATGGATTTATAAGCTTATAATAATCTATATTCAAAAATAAAAGAATACAACGATCATTAGCAGTGGTCAACACTATGGCTGCAACAATCCCTTTATGATGTAAAAGGGCTGATGTAACAGCAGATTACTGCCATTCTTTCTTTAATTTTTAAGAAGGGGAGATAATTTTATTCGTCATTACAAAATCCAAGGCCAACAAATCATAAAATAATAATGACGACGCAGATAACAACAACAATAGAAAAAAAAAAAAAAAAATAGAAAGAAAAAAAGAATAACATATAAATACTAGCATACCACGGCAGGAATATCAAGGCCACGAGCAGCCACATCGGTACATAACAAGATGCCCTTCTCTGCTTTGCAAAAATCAAAAAAAGTAGAGGTCCTTTTCTGCTGCTTTTGCTTTCCATGAATATCATAGCAATCCACATGTATGTATCTGAGAAGTTCTGAGTGGAATTTGACTGAGTTACATGAAGAGAAGAAAACCATCACTTTTTTTGAGAGGTTCCTCTTCAAGAAGGAATACAGAAGAACAAATCTCTTGGCACTGGGCACAACACAATAGCCTTGCTGCAGGCCTTCGTTAGTGACCTACAAGCCAAATGCCTTATCAGTTTCAGTGGAGATTAGAGATTATCACAATAAATAAATAGGATCCATACTTTTAACTTACTTTTGTCCTCCCATCATCCACATCGATGTAGACAGGACGTTCCTGAAACGATAACCGTGCAAGATCCTCAACCTGAAAATGTTCCTTTTCAGTCATTCATGAAATATTAAGAACTAAAAAAAAATTTGACACTAATTTCAATACCATTCAGAGTTAAAAATAGAGAAAAATGGAACTTTGTCACCATCAGTTCCTATAAAGCTAATAAAATTGAATCTTTTTTTTTTCAAAAAACAAAAAAAAAATAAAAGATTTTAAAAGTTGACAACAAACGTTGATGCCTGGAACCTTGGCAAAGAAATGAATGATCAATTTGACGTTTGAATATGTATACCTTCTTGGTCTGGGTAGCTGAGAAAAGAGCTGTCTGCCTCATCTGTACATCAAATAGCATCTAAATTAGTTCATTTGGAATTGTTAGCGAACAGAACAATGGAAACCAACAAAGCCCTTAAACAGTCAGCGAGGTTTTCTACAAGGCAGTTCAAAATAATAAAAGTTGAGGAGATCCGTGATGAAAAGTTTAATTGTTATTCCAAAATTGCTGACAACAAATTTCAAGACCCCAGCTTCAAGACAAGCCGAAATGATAGTGGGGTCACAGGAGTGTGAAGAAAGAAGAGGCGTTTTGGCGCGCTCTCTCTCTCTGTGAAGAAAGAAGATGGTGATCTGTGTGTGTGTGTGTGCAACAGATCCATGATGTGTTAATGCGTGTGTTCCAAATTTTAATTTAGGAGAAATTGGAGTGAGAGTGGAGTATTGGGGCTTGTCGATGGGGTTCATCAAGATCTGAAAAAAACCTGTATTTGGGTCTTGCCTATGAGCTGTGGGTAAAAAGTGCCTCATAGAAGCTGCAACTCTCTTCTTACCTTTTGTCTTTCTTTTTCCAGTAATTGCCCCGTCTCTTTCACTGCTAGTTAGTCTCTAACTTTTCCATTTTTTTCTTTTCAAATGTTGCTCTGCTGTATTTCTTCAAGATGTTACAGACAACCATGAAGATTTCAGTTTCCTTTTTCTTTGTTTCTTATTTATTTATTTAGAATTCTGAGTTATTGCAATCCAAGATGCGTTGCCATTTTACATTAGTCCCTCTGGCTACCATTTCAAAACTTCATATTTAGTGTAGCCAACATGTTCACATACTGACTTCTCAAAATTTTCTATTCCAAAGAATTCGCAATTGCTTCTCTAAAGCTCCATGGCACCTGGGCATTTTTTTCCACTTTCTTTTCCCTTTGAGCAACATAGTTGTTACGACAGTGAATCACGCAAAGAAATGAAATAACCAGTGGAGATTGATTGGTAGAAAATAAAATTAACAAAAACCATTTGAATATCTCCTGCTGGTTATTTCCTGAATAAGCTTTGTAACTTACTAGATCTATTGTCGGTCACTCAGAGGTACAAGTTCAGGGCCAAAGCCCTGAGATAACAAATGAGAGTAACAGGAGGCATGAGCTCTAGTTAATAAATTTGTGACAACCCACTGAAATATAATTAAAATATTTTAATGCTCAAAATTTTCTTATATTACTTTATTCATATGCATCTGTTTCCCGCTGATGTGGTGGTTGGATATATTCTCTCTAACAAAAAGTGTGAAGCGTCAAATGTAGTGCTATACAATGTATCAACACTACAGTTTCAATTTGTTTAATATGCTATTTTTACTCAATGGTAAATAATAATTTCCTTTAATAGTTAAAAAAGTATAGTTTAGCTGACCACTTGACTGATATACGAACAAGTATTTGGTTTTCCATTATGTCCATGGAAACAAACATGCTATCTTGTATTATCGTTCTAAATCCTAAGCAACATCCCTAGATATACCAAACATATTTTCTGTTCCCATTTAACCAGAATAAAACATCAACATGCTACTTATTTCAAGAAAACTATAAAATAGAAAGCACGTAATAAAGCCAATCACACCCTTAGTTTACCAGCATTGCAAATACTCAATGCAAAAAATTGTGTCTGCCCAATAAAATCAAATATCCTTTGCTTTGAGAAGATACCAATAGGAAGCAGACACCATTGTTAAAAAACTGGACAAGACTGGCTGGCTAATTAGACCGGAACACCATGACCCAGTCAGCCTACAAGTCCTATTCGCATATTAGACTACCATCTAGACTTAATCTAGAAAAAGACTCTTTGATGTGATGATTGAGACCTTGAACCAAAAAAAAAATAATAATATAGCCACTATAAACAGTGTATGCTCGCCTACCATGAGATCTATATAGTTGTAATGCTGTAGTAATACAGCCAATATGATAGCATTTTGAGTTGTTTATTTTATGTAACTTCTAATATTTCAAATATAGGCAAAGTGGCAAGGACAGTGAGCCTGAACCGCTGTTGAGCCGGTGGATACATGTTACAGCCACCAAAAAAGGTTGGTTTCCTGTCCAGCTATGATATCTATGTTGGACAATACTAATTTAATGGCAAAACATTTTGATAAGTAAATTAATGAGAAAACATGACAAAAAAATCTCATAACATATAAACCCTGCCTTATAACAGTTTGGTGTTGCTGTCATCAATAACAGGAATGAACAAAAGGTACTTTACCTTAGGTAGAATCTTAATAATTTGCTTCATTTCTTCTTCGAAGTTTGCCTCCAAAATCCTGTCAGCTTCATCTATGATAAGGAGCTGCAAGTCGAAGGAAATTTTAAAGAACTACAAGCATCTATATAATAAGATATGTGATGCATGCTAAATTTAGTTCCAGAAAGAAAAGAATTGGTATTCAGAAATATGAATGAAATAGCTATAATTCACACGGGTGCTGCCATACAATCTTTCAAATATCTGCAACTAACATAGAATAACTTTTAACAATGGAGAAAAAGAAAACAATAAACGAAGAAGTAAGAATTATTAGAAAGTCAAGAATTACAATTCTTGTCAAGGGGTAGCACACAATATTGCGTCAATGGTTATAGAAAGGTTTCAAATCCTTCCACGCCAATTTCTAGTCAGAAACTACTTTTCTCAAAATTTTATAGTACTGAAAAAGGCGATTACCCAGTATTTTACCTGCCAAAATAGGGTGTGGATAGAAAATAGTATAAACCTAACTCTCACCATTATTTGCACAAAGAGCCTTCTCTCAAACTCGAAACCCATTCTCATGCTTGACATTCCAAATTTTTACACGCACCAAACAACTGTCCCTAGTAATAAGATTAAGAAATGAAAACTAATCACTAAAGTACCTCCCATTAGTTTATTTGAGTATTAGCACTTTAAGGATTCTTTAAAAGATTATATACAAGGAATTAACCTTATGTTCAACATGTCTTGAACAACACCAGTTAAGCAATCCTGAAAATGTGTCCAACACCTTACGTCCTTAATTTAATTTAAAATAAAATTCGTATTTCAGGTCATTTTGAGAGCTTTATGACATGAGTGTCAGAACTTAGATGTTGAGATACATATTTCTTTTAGTATAGTAAAGAAAAATCAATATGAGTAGTAGTGTAAAATTTTAAAAGTTATTATAATCTCACACATGGAGATACATTAAGGTGATTTACCGATGAGAATAAAAAATAAAAAATAATAAGAAGAAAAGGAGTTGTACAGGACAAGGAGGGAGTTCTTTAAATGTGTGTGTACATATATATATCTACATATACTTATATTTTTTTTGACAAGTATATCTAATATGTATATATACAACCTTTTTTTTATTTTATAAAAACACAGATGCAGTGTCCCCGTGATGTTCTCTGTCCAACAAAAGTAACTACAAGTTACGGATTACAGTTATAACCATAAAATATTTTGATCTATTAATCATAGAGTAATTAGTAATATTTGTTATCCTATTAAAAATGTATATTGACATAATTTCACATGTATAATGTACTTCTTTGTTGATTTATCCTCAATGTCCTTGTGCCCGTGTCTGGTGCCTTATTCCATGTTTCAAGGACTTGCAGAGAATCTTTCTAATTACGGCTTCACCGTACACATAAATTACATAATGGATTTCAAGTAGCCACAAAATTTGTCTTATGCCGCAGAGAACCAATCTAGACCATAATGCGTGATGGATTTCAAGTAGCCATAAAGTTTGTCTTGTGCCACATAGAACCATTCTAGACCATAATACATCAGCTGCTTTTTATATAGTCATCACAAACAACATTCTTACCAGAAATCACTCCAAGAAGTAACATATGTTGAGATTATTTCTCCTAGAAGTTCCATCAAAGTACTGGCCCAATTAGGTTTCCACGGAATAATATTAATAGAATCTAAAATTACTTTAAGAAATATTGTTTATGGTTTTAGTCAAGGTCTTCTCTCATGTTGTGTCTTGGACCGCTACAATTAGGGCCATCTTAAAAATCTCTTTGGTTGTTTGAGTACAAGATCAGAATCAGATTCCATGCCTTAAAATAAACACAACATATGTTGCTTCTTGGAGTAATTTTTAACTTTCCCCACATGTTTCCATACCTATTGTTTGCTAAAAATAAACAATATATACATTTTTAGCAATTTGGCGTGAATTAGGCAATAAAACATGTTTCCTACACTTAAGACTACCATTTGATCAATTTTAGATTTTAATATGTAACGATAATCAAGTGATGTAGCCAAGCATTTAAGAGCACAAACACATCCGTGTACAGAAACTTGAGCATCATCTACCTTATTTGCTTATACAGAGTTGTACGGGGGAGCATTTGCTAACCCCTTTTGAGCTCCTGTTAAGCTTTACTCAATTCTATATATTGCTTGTTCAATAACCTTTCCCATTGCCATCCCTAATCAAGACCAAGTTGTCACATGAGCATGCACGGACCTACATTAGGCTCAGTGGGGGCTTCCACCCCCACTGGAATTTTATTTATTTCCATTATATACCTATGTTTTAATTAAAAATTATAAGACTGCCCTACTAATTTTTTTTATAATACTTTATTATTGTATATACTTGCCCCCACTAAAGTTTTGGATCATGAAAAAAGAGTAATCTCTCTCTCGTACCATGTCAATGGTAGAGCACATTAACCCAAAAAAATTATTATTTTAGTTTTGCATGTCTATCTTCTAATGATTGTATATATGGCGCTCCTACAAAATTACTGTATAAAACTATCATTGGTCTTAAAATCCAACACAAAGACGAGAGGGAAGGGAGGAAGAAACATGTTTATGCAACTTAGTGACTAGGTTGATCTAATAGCGTGTGTTTCTTGCTTGTATTTTTTTTTTTTTTTTAATACAATAAAACATACCATGGCAAAGGCATATTTAATTATATATATTAAGAGAAATATATTTAATGACATTGAAAAATGAGATGCAACATTTCGAAATGGTGAAAACTCATAAACTTAAATTATAAATGTATTGAATAAAAATATATTATCGATCAACAATTACATATTTTTATTTATTATCTTGGTTCAAAAAATTTTAATTTTATTATTATTCAATGCCGCCACTAGAAAAAATTTCTGGGCCCGTCACAGAAGATTGCCTCACAATTCACATACGTGTCCTTTAATATGTAATGACTGTCAAATTTTAAACCTAGAAGAATAATATGCTATCATCTGCCTTCCATTCAATAGCTTCATGCCATATGTTTTTTATACACTAAACTTTCTTCACCCTCCTATTCATGTCACCAAGAAAAAAATCCCACCTTCCAGTTGATTTGTGCAGTCCAAGTTTTATTTACGCATCAATCACCACTCTCTTAATTTAATGATTCAAGGATATATTGCAATTTGCATCATATCTTCAACTTCGATTATCAATTCTATGACAAGAGGCCACTAACTACATTAAAAAGTTTACAAACTATAAAATCTATTTAGAAGATATAGATGCTAAATAAGTGACCCACAAAATCATTTTGCTAAATTTTAGTAGTAAGGTATGACATAAATTGAGGTTGGACAATTGTACATGCCTCTACACGATACCTTTAAATTTTTATATATGAAGCCTTTGGTGTTTTGAAGATGATCAAGAAGTCGACCAGGCGTGGCCACCAATAAATTCACACCTTTCGCAATTCGTTCTGCCTCTGCCCTTCGAGCTGAACCACCAATAACCAAGCCAAGAGTCTGCGAGTGATACTTGAGAAGTTCATTTGCCACAGCATGTGTCTGCATCAATTGAATGGGTGATCAGTCAGGGAAGTGCAAGTCCTCTGCATATATAATGCCATTGCACATATATTTTCTATGCAGTTAGGTTGAAGCAATAACGTGTTCAAACTTTTAGATTGAGAACAAGTTGTAATGATGAATGAAAATTGCCTGTCAGATAAATGGAATATACGGTATGCAGCAACAGAATAAATGTTACCTTTTACTTCTATTGTATATACATCATGAGTGTATGATTATGAAGATTGCATAACCCACCAAATTTTCCCCCAGCAAAAAAGAAAAAGAGAAAAAAATGAGTAGTTACCTGTATGGCAAGCTCTCTTGTAGGGCAAATAATGATGACACCCGTCCCATTGCGAGGAGTAAAGCGGATTTGGTATAACAACTCCACGGCCGGCAAAAGAAAGGCTAGCGTCTTTCCCGAGCCTGTCCTTGCAGCTCCAAGAACATCTTTGTGTTCCAGTAGTGGTGGGATTGCTCTAGCTTGGATCTGCAAATGCAATTAAATGTTACAAAAAATATAAATTCCACATGGACTATAAAGATACGATGATACAAAAAAGATTATCTGCATAGAAAGATTAATATTTAGATTAACCTTGCTTCATGCATGAAAAGTGAAAAATAATATTCCTTGTACAAAGAGGTTATATATACATATACAATATATACAAAATGGACAAATAGATGTTTGCACAAGTTAATAGGAAGCAAGAAATGCAAAATAAAGCACAGAAAAATATGTCCCCATTATAACATTCCTAAGGTCTCTTTGATTTTTGCCATTGACAATGGGTCGCTAGTAGCATGCCAATATTGATGCGACAATCATATCCTCTCCTGTGATAATATGGAATTATTCCCTTCACTTTGTGTGACTTTGATTAAATAGAATTCATAAGAATGTGATAATATGGAATTATTCCCTTCACTTTGTGTGACTTTGATTAAATATAATTCATAAGAATAACCAACGAGGAATGAATCAATAGCTGGGTGTAGGAAGAGCTTTTACAAATTTTGAAGTTCACCATTTCTTTTCCTATGGTCTCTATGTCAAAACTTCCGCAATGTAGTGGGAGCATCTTTTCTTAGTTGCAATACAGTAACCTCCATTTTGCTGCTGAAATAATGGAAGAACATGGAAAATTTTTGAAACTTTTAAAAATTTCATTGTGTATTGTTTTCAAAAGTGTGTAACTCAATTGAACCAAAGAATTGCATTGAGCTCGGTGAAGTTATATTTTAATTCTATTTCAGTCCAGAGTAGCTGAAATTTTATTCTACAATTCCCCAATAACCAGACACAACAATATAATCAAATAAGATAAGTTCAAAATCTGCAGTGGAATCAATGCCAAAGTCCGAGCTTTACTCATTAAAATCAGTTACTGGACTTTTGAGATGTGAGATAAACACAAAATAGTACTCACAAACATGAATTACATGAGAAACAAAAGCTGGTCCCGATATATACATCTTGTTGAGCAAGACCCGAATTGCAACATATGCATTTATAAGACTCATAACCCTGCAGCCAAATGGATTTCCCCGTGACCTGATTGAAAGCTCAATTGTGGATATAAGCATCAAATTCAATCCGATCTAAAAGAGTTTCTTTACTCTGAAATCTTTAAGAATAATATCAATCAAATTCAAACATTTCTTTGTCTTCCTTTTTCTCAATTACTTAGCTACCAAATGGAGGGTGAGAATAGAGGAAAAACATAAAATTCAATTTTAACCTATTCAGATTTTACAAAATGACCTAAGGCATTGATTTTCAAATTTAAACGAAACTCAAGTCATGAAGAACATAGTCTAAGCCAATTAACTAGGAAATTAAAAGTTTTTCTTTTTTTATTCGCATAGAAAAGCTGATTTTATCTGAACAGAGCTCGAAGAGGAACAAAATAAAATACAGACATATAAGTGATTCAAATCACAAACACTGTATAAGTGATTTACCTGAGTCATGTACTGAAAACCCAGGTCTTTAATAGCATTCATGGTGAGTTCGGATATAACGGGCAACGCCGCGAACGATTCCGTACTCATAATTCCAGACCCAACCTTCACCTTCTTCTTCTTATTCGTTTTCTCATTCTTCGACTCATAATTTTCTTCTTCTCTCTCCTCGTCGTCCCCACTCTCTTCGCCACTTCCCTCTTCGTCCTCAACCAACTTTTTCTCTCTCTTCAACTTGTTCTTCTTTTTATTCTTTTTCTCACTGATAGGCCTATCAACTTCTTCTCTCTCTTCCTCGCCATCCATTTCTCCCTCTTCTGTTCCATCTCCGTTGGCCCTTTCCTCTCCAATTTCTTCTTCTTCTGAAAGAGTTGTCTTCTTCTTATCTCTCTTTCGCTTTCGATTCTTCTTCCTGGTTTTGGCTTCTTCGTCGAAGACATTGGTGTTAGGGTTTACTTCAGTTACTGCCATGGCGGCCACCGTTTGCTTCTCCGTTGTTCGCGTGGTTCGGTCCAAACGGCGGAGGTGATATTCTCTTTAGGCTGGGCAGACTAGGGCTTATGTGGTTTAAGAGCTCCTCTAGGGAGGAAGTCTACAATAAAATAGCCGAGGCTCCTCTGGATCGATCCCAATTGCTAGGTGTGTTGGGCAACGCTAATCTAACCCAGCCCAATTCGATTTTTCGCTAATGTGGACAATTATTTTGATAATTATAATTGAATTTAGGTTGAAAAATCACAATAAGTATTTAATTATGATTTAATTTGGGTTGAGGTGATAGCAACCGAGTCCAAAGCAAACTCGAATTTTAATATTATTTTTATAAATTTATTTTAATCTAAAACTAATTCAATATCACATTACTTATAAAAAATAAAATAAACTAATTTAATGTCACAATAATTTTTTAGTATAAAGATTGTTCATATAGGTGATCCGAATTTACCTAACTTTTTAATATGAAATTTAAAATTGAGTTTAAAAGTAAAAAGACGGATTGAACTCAATTTGAATAGTTAAGGTTGAAAGTAGAATTACGGTTGAACTTGAGTTGAACATTTCATACGTCGGATTGACCTATTAATCACTTGTAAGATTTTTAATTAAAAAATTTGATTATACAAAAGTAAATATGTTTGATAATCAATAAAAATATTTTATTTTAGTTGAGGAAGCATGTAAAATTGTGTTTTGAGAGAGATTTTATATTTTAGGCAAGTAATTTTTCTTAAATTTTTATATTATTTTGTACTTTTATAAAAATAATTTAATTTCTTATTTTATAAAATCATTGTAATGAAGGATTTTATGCTAACATTATAATATGAACTTTAAATTATTTTTTTTATCAAATAAACCAAAAAATATTACTCCTATATTTTTCTTACATTCCAAGAGTTTTAGAGGCCTGTTTGATATGCCTTTCTTTTTTGTATGTTTTTGTTTTTGCCAAGTACTATAACAGTGAAAAAAACGTGTTCGGTAAAAACTGTTTGATTTTGTACAGTGCTGAATGTTTCGTGAATAGTGGCAAAAAATCAAAATACCAATTTGATGTTTTTGTGTGTTTGCACATTGTGGCCTTTGGTATTGTAGCAATGAACAGTAAAATTATTTTATTTTTAAAAACTCTTAAATGACATTTTTAAATTAACCATTATATATTTTTCTAACTTGTAACATTTTTTATACCAAATATGTTTTTATGTTTTTGCTTCCAAAATATTTGCAACAAATGAACGTTACTAAATATACATTCGATTACTATTCAAAACACTCTATAACAAAACACTTATTTTGTTTTGGGTTAAAACAAAATGCCAAAAACAAATTGCGTGTCAAACAAACCCAAAGTTTGTGTGTGAGTACATTAGACATATTTATTTATTTTTTAACAAATAAAAAATTACTGACTATTATCAAAATAATGCTAAATTATCAATACTTATGAACACTTTAATCAAACTAATCAAGGAGTAATTTTTCCTAATCCCAAATTAAAAACCCCAATAAAAGTACTTGAAATTAAGTAATTCTTTTTCCCCTCTCAAACGTTAAAGCAAATACACAATTAAACTCAAAGACACGACCTCTTTATGAGAAAGAGGGAGAGATTAATCCATCTGAGTTAGTACACATTGGTTTATTGAATTTAAGTTGAACTTGGAATAGAAAAATCAATTTTATTTTATGTCAACTTTGGGTTTAGTTATTCCTAAAGTTGAATATAAAAATAAAAATCATAAACAAATTATTAAGAAATTAAAATTTTAAATAATTATAATACACAATAATTGATATTTAAAAAATAAATAAATAAAATGTTCCCCAACGGTCCACGGATTGTAAGTATATGCAATATAACATAATATTTTAAATATATAAAAAATGGGTTAAAATTTAAGCTCATGTTTTGACAACACATTCAAAGACCAAACTAGCAATATATATATATATATATATATTGGAAACGGAGTAATATATTAGCATAAGTATAATACATACATATATATAGAGAGAGAAAATGTAAAGAATGAAAGAGTTTGTGCAAAAGAGGGAGAGAAGCATGAGTGCAAAGAGGGAGAGTGAGGAATTTAAGCTCATGTTTTGACAACACATTCAAAGACCAAACTAGCAATATATATATATATATATATATTGGAAACGGAGTAATATATTAGCATAAGTATAATACATACATATATATAGAGAGAGAAAATGTAAAGAATGAAAGAGTTTGTGCAAAAGAGGTAGAGAAGCATGAGTGCAAAGAGGGAGAGTGAGGAAGCAGTGTTGTGGGCAGCCGTTGAAAGGGCAAAGAAGAGATGCAGGGCGGTGGTCGATGGAATAGAAAGATTAGATTCCTCAAAAATCACCCTTTCCTGCAAGCGAACGATACTCAGATTGGCCCACTCTGAGCTCTCTTTCCTTTCTCGCTTTTCTATATCACTCTCTTCCACTCCCAATCCCATTCTCAACTCGTCTCTCAGGTTGGTTTTCTCTCTCTATATATATACATATTTAATTTGTGTGATTATGTCTCTGTAGACAAGTATGAATAGGGTTATGTTTCATTATCATATATCTGCTCTGATAGCTTCCCACTTTCAAACATTTATCAATTTCTCATTCAATTATTGTTGCTAATGTGATGTATTGTCTATTTTTCCATGAAGTTATGGTTTCTTACTTGACGTGGTATATGAAATTATAATCTGGAGTAGTGTGGCCTCACTAAGGTCCATCACAAGTTCTTGTTCATTACTTGACTCTGTTATATATATATATATATATATATATATATATATATATATATATATAACAGAGTCAAGTAATGTATATATATATATATATATATATATTAATGTCTACTACACATTCAATATCCGATTAAAATTTGTAGTAATAGGGGCTTAAACAGTAGTTGTAGTTCTGAATTCTCCACATGTACAGAGACAAATATACACACACACCCACTTAAAAAATAAAATAAAATGTTTGATTGAAATCTGATCAATATTTGTGATGGAATGCTAGTGTTAACATTGGTCATCTCGAGGCAGTCTTACACATTCTTCAGCAACCATATATAAAAGGAGTTTCTCGTGTTTGTAAGTCAATTCCTTTGTCACAAAAGGGGCCAAAAAGTAATTCATGTCTGAAAGGCATCCATGTTGATATAGTCTGTAGTCTCAATGGAGAGCCAGTCTGGTTTATTGTATCAGATAGAAACCCAAAGTATATATCTTGGAATGGGTCTTGTAGAAATAAGGGCTTGAGAATGCGAATTGAACAAGTTCTTGATGCAGCCCGGTCCTCCATAACGGTGAGACCTTCTTCAGTCATCCTTTTCTTCTCAAATGGACTTGATGACAGTGTTCGCGGGAAGCTTGAAGATGAATTTAGAGCTTCTAAGTTCGGAATGGAGTTTTCTTACTTTGATTTTGGGTTCTCTGAAGAACTAGAGGGTGAATGGATTAATGTACTTGTGAGATCTTATCAACAGGCGTGTGTACTTGAAATAAATGTTGACTGTTCTAATAATTCCATTCCAAGGATTAAATTTGGGGTCAACGATTCACTCCTGGGTGCTGACAGACAAGACCTTTCAGAGGAGCACATTGGTCTAAACCTGGGTGGTTCTTTCTGTTCTCTCGTTTCAAGAATGATACTATGCTCTTTGGATGTAAAAGATGAAGAATCTGTTCAACCAAAGGACTCATCAGTTCAAGCCAATCTGATAAATTTGGATACAACTGCATTGATAGCTATTGTATCGGGAATCAGTAACAATGGTACAGAGAAACTCTTGGCTACACCCGAGAGTGAATTAAGAAGGCGGTTTAAGAGCAACTTCGAGTTTGTGATTAACCAGGTATATCTTTTTCATTCTTGTGCAATGTGCACTATTCTGCCTGTTTCTTTTTGAGAAGCCTAACCATCAGCATCTTTATGTACATATTACATGCAGAAATTGTCTTTTTTGTCTAGTGACTATGTGAATACTCATGCTTTCTAATTTTGGGTACTTGTATGCACGCATCTTGTCAAATCTATCTAATATGAAGCATTGGATGGAAAGTCACTAGTCAATTGCATATAACAAATATGTTTTTCCATAATGTTGAGCATTCTAGTTAATCTTTGAAGTTTGCGGTGCGTGCATAATGCGCCATTTATTATGTCTAATTAATCTGTGTACTTCGCCATTTTTTGTTGTCCAATCTTCCTCACCCACCCCCCAATCATTATGGTTGTGGTTGTTTGACATTGTTCTCCATAGAAAGAGTGCCTGATAGATGCAAACTGTTAGCAATTTTCTTGATATCTACACAGCTGTTATAATCAATAATAATGGGAGATTCAAAATTTGTTTATTAACAGGAACATGAAATATCTATTTCTTCTTTGACTTTAAACCACAAACAACTTTTTAAGTAAACACTCTCTGCACAGAAGAGGATCTTTTATACATCTTCCCAAGAAAACTGGCCACGGTAGAAAATATTAAAATTGGCGAGTTTTTCACAAATTCACATTTTTTATCCATAAAAGCTCTAATCTCTATTCGGATGAGTTATTTTTAGCTTCATATTCATCGTCACCATCCTTGCATTTCTCCCACCCAAATGAGGCAGCCGGTTCTTTTTAGCTTAAACATGAACAAGACAGGTAAAAACCATAATTTACAAAACAAAAAATAGTTGGTTGAGAGTTTCATTGCCCAAGATGTATGAAAAAAACATAATCTAAATTTAAATTCACTAGATATGTATATGCATCTATGACTATGTACATCTATTATTGTTGAAAAAGGTTCTAATAATGTATACTAAATCTCAAATAACTATTAGTTATGATGTAAGAGAACTATTTAATCATATATTCTGGGATAAAATTTGTCATACTCATATATTAATTATTGGAGGCAAGACTGCATTTATAATCTTGGCCAATATTCTTCATATGGCCATATTGCTTGATAGCCTAATATGACAGCTGCAGTGTATTTGTGGCACTTCTGCATTTCCTTATGGGTAATTATAGTAATGTCCATTTGGAATCTATCTAATTTTGATCTCTTGCCAGGTGATGTCTGAAATTGAAAATCCAATCCATTTGGAACTGGGTGGTATACTATCTAGAAAGAGAGGCATGATATGTGAAAGCGTTTGTTTCGAGTTTGCGGAGCTAGTGTCAATGTGTGGGGGGCTGAATGAGAAACTAAGAGCTGATCACTTAATAAAATGCCTCATGTAAGTTTTTCTGACCAATTTGTATCATTCAATGCAACAATTAGGTTGGACCTGCAGTAATTTTGATTGGGAATTATTTCAATTTATGACTATGAAGTGTCACACGGGAAAATGTAGGTATATTTTAAATCCATATGCACATTATTGAAATCAAGGTAGTTTTGCTTTGGTCATAATCACTAGGTTTTCCCTGCCTTTGTTATTTGCATATACATACATTCAATGATACTGGAGGGGAGAACAACTGGTTATCAAAATACACACACACGCGTGCGCTCGTATATATAGGGGATAACAACTGCTTATTAGACTATTTATTTATTATTATTATTATTATTTTCGCATATACATCCAACTCACCAACTTATTTTTGTTGATGATATTCTTTTGCCATCAAAGCCTTAGCTTGAGGGGTATGTCCTCCACCTCCCCATAGGAGAGGTTGAGGGTTCAAGCCCCAAGGAGTGAGTAAATATTTCATATCGGGAAAAAAAAAAATGGTTATCATTTGTGAATTTCCATGATAACTGTATTGTCAATGAACTTCTGGAAATGCAGACGAAAAGCCATTACAACTGTAATCTGTGCTTTATTAATTTTATTTTTTCATTATTATTTTTAATGATACCTTTTGTTGTAGAAATAGAAAAGAATGTCCAATTGTAAATTTTCCCTATCTACACAATTCTGCATTTATACCTCTTCACCTTATCTGTGCTGACCGGAACAATTTTCTTGAGTGAGAAGAATACCCTTTTAGTTTGGCGTAATCTTACCCAGCTGATCTAAAGCCAATGGCAATTGTAACAAGACATGGTGTGCCTGAACTAAAACAAGCTTGTGTCTATATTAGCTTGATTGAACTTTGACTGTTATAGACATGGTGATTGAACTTTGACTGTTATAGACATGGTGATTGAACTTTGACTGTTATAGACATGGTGATTGAACTTCGAACATGTTGCATGACTTAAATGTTTTGCAAAATTTGTGAAAGTGATGATGAAATTCTCCATATGGTTCACCTTTTAATCTGAAAATTATAAAGCTTTCTTGATTAATTGATGAGAATTTTATACAGAAGCAAATGTTTGTGAAATTTACCATGAATCCACCTACCATGGTTCTTTTAAGTGAAAACATATAGATCCATTTCGCCATTCCAGACTGTAACAATGTTCACTTATTTATTTATTATTATTTGTGCGTGTCTGGGTGGGTTTTTTTTTTTTTTTTTTTGTTGTGGGGGGTTGGGGGTTGTTTTTACGGTCCACATATTACTAAATAAATAGTACAATGACCTATACACTGTCATTCGATATTAGTCAGCAGTAATGAGTAGCAACACTGTATTTTCTTTTATTATTTCCTTCTTTTCTCAAGTAGTTGGAATAGGAAAAACTACACACAGAAGATGACTATAGTGACACTTGATTTTTTAGCTGAATTACATATCTTTATATTAAAACCAAATCATAAGTTAAAAATATCATAATATTATAAACATGTGCAATATCGATCATTCCTACATTTCGTTGAACTAATTATTTAAATAATCATTGCAGGATTGTGCCTGACAGTCCGTCAGCACGCATGTCGAGCCTTCCAACCACCAGGAAGCTATCCTTGAAGAACAAGGTTGTTTTTGGCAGTGGAGATTACTGGCATGCTCCTACTTTAACTGCAAACATGGCTTTTGTAAGAGCTGTTTCACAGACCGGAATGTCTCTATTTACCATAGAGCATAGACCTCGTGCCTTAATTGGTGATTAGTGCTCTATAGTAGTTGATGTAAATGATTTTGTATGTGTTCATGGAGAAAGCCTTGTAGTCGATAGAAGCCTCATCAATATTGTCAGAATGTAGCAGTTTCAAATTAGATGAATCATTCTCATTTAGTTGATATCACAAATGTCAAGTTTAGAAGCAGACATTCGCACTATGCCACTTCCATGTAAGGGTTCAAAGTTTTACAAATTAATGTGCTTACTTGACATGCTCATTTTGTTATTGTTGTTCATTTATTTTCTACAATAATTTAGGAGATTTTCTAATTTGCTTCTAAAAAAGCTGTAGTCAGTAAATTTATCTGATAAAGCAATGGAAATATAGTGAATCAAATTTAGGGAAATATAAGGAAAAATGTTTCATAATGAAAAGGAACCAAAAAAATAAAAAATAAAAAATAAAAATGAAGAGGCAGGCTACATAGCAGGAACACCCATCTTCTAAGTCTTCTAGAGCTTCAGCCTAAACTTACAAGTATTGGCTCTGATGCTGATTAGATTATTAGCAGAAAGGCTATCAACTATGAGCACACATTTGCCCAAGATCCAGACCTTCCTCAGCTTCAACTTCCCAAGCTTGATGCTCACTGGCACATCCACCTTAAGATCTAATGGGATTCTTCCTGTCTGTTGTTGCTCCTGCAATGCCGCCATCAAAGCGTTTGCGTACTGTGTTTGACCAGTTAAGGCCACATCAAGCCGTGTCGTATTCTGGTGACCTTGGTAAAATCTTGGAAGCAATCCTTGGCATAGCTTTGTGTTCGTGTACCACACGCTCAGGTGACTCCCTTTCTCGTAGTAGATTCCAATTTTCTTGTTTGGGTTGTTGGCAGTGATCTTCACGTCGAATTTGGCATACAGGCTCATGTCAAAGTTAAGCCTAAAATCAGAAATTTTGAGGCTGTCAATGGAGTATTTGGGAAGCTTTGGTTGGAACATGAGGTAAAGAATGCCACCGGTGACTCCAATGACAATCAACAGGAGGATGAGAAGGCTTACCGTCCAGCACACGCATTTGCAGCAACATGTTCCTCTACATGGTGGCTTTGAGTGGATTTCTGGAATGGTACGCCTGAATGGTGGAGAGTAATGCTGCATTGGGTTGCCTTTATCTGAATTTGATGAGCCTGGAGGCACTAAAGGTAGTGTTGGTGGTGCTTCCTGCACTGCCACCGGATGAATTTTCTGATGATCCGCCATTGGTCTTAGATTGGCAACTTGGAGAAGAAATCTTACATGCAATACTGGAACAATGTTTAGTTTCCAACAGGCATCACAGCCTGGGTAAAAAAGTAGTGATACAATTATATAGATGGATTCAGTGTAGTTCCTTTATTTGACTTTCTTCTTCTTTATTTGATTTGTGTGGTAAATATAATTTTTTTTATATATTTGGAGTGAGGTTGATTTGTCCTTGACTTTATAGAAGATGGTTTTGGGTTGAAAACTTCTCACCTTCCTGACCTAATTTAACAAGATATCCGAAGCTTAGTAAGTGAAAGTAGGTCAGCTAAGCAGAGTGTTGGTTCAGTACACTGCTATCAATACTTTTTGTACAAATTGTCTTCCTCATCTGCTATTAAAAATTTAGAGGAAGATGAGAAAAATTGAATAACAAACACTTCAAATTTCTTTTTAGTTTAGGGTTGTGATGCTGACAAGTACAAGGATGACATCTTGACATGTCGCCCGATGTGGAGAACAGCTAACAGTGTCTCTCATCTCCAACCAAGATCTTGCCGGTGAACAACTATCTGGTCCAACACCAAGATGGACATTACAATAACGATTTGATAATAAGTTCATTATCACCCAAAAAAAATAAAAATACATTAATACTAACACTTCAACCTTTCAAAATCACATAGCTCAACTGTAAGCAAAAATGGCATATGAAAAGTATGATATAATCATGTAAAAAAATCAACAATGCCAAAAATGAAACATTTCCTATTCAATTATCTGATTTCAGCATCGTAATATACGTTCACGAGACCACCATTAGAAATATTTATGTTAACTACAATATTAGATACACTTGTTCATATTGAGAAAACTGACATAGTATTCTCACATAAGCTAGTAAATTAGCCCACATTGTTTCACCAGCATACATTATGTCACTTTCAATATTCTGCTGGAAACAGGAAACTGAACCTTCCCAATGTAATCAAAACTCATCAGGCAGCAATCATCACTGAAATTTTCTGCTCTTATAATGTCATGTAGCAAAAGGCTGGAGCTTGCTGCTCTGAATAATAATGCAAAACAGCACAGATGGATCACCAGCTTAACATACAGAACTCCCATTTGTGATATTGATGTTCCCTGATTTACCTTTTAACCAGGACATAAATCACTACTCGTGGGCTGCGATAATCTGGATGCCACTGCGTTTGATCGACACGCCCAATAGTGAACTCCTTCATTGCTGCTTCTAAGAAGTATTCAAGGACAGCATCTGTCACAGGAATAGATATATGAGATCTTTGAATTTGTATGGTGTTAGGAAAGTTAAATTTTAAGGTAAAATATCTACCGTTTCGAAGTTCTCCAGCCAAAACAATAGTTGTTTGGCTCCCACATAGTTCTAGTAGGGTGGTTAACAAATCAGTCACTGCTTCCTCACTATAGATGACATCTGAACCGAGCACTGAAATATATATATATTTTAAAAAATGAAAAAAAAGATCGGTCTACAAAATTAAGAAAGAACTTCCAAACTTAAACCAGATATGGACAAGAAACAAACAATTCTGAAATGCTTTGCTTCTTTTACCAGGAGTTGGGAGAGACAGTACCAAGTTATCTTATATGTCAATTAGTCAATTCATGGAGCAACAGAATTCATGCTGTTTGATGAAACCCACCATTTGGTGGGCACTAAGAAGATAGTCGCCAAAGGGAAAAAATTTCTTTTGGAAAGAAGGACCTGCGGGTCCCAATAACCCTGCACCTCCTCTTAAACATCAGGAATGACTTCAAATACCACTCAAGCTACACAGCTTTGTGAAGCTCATCTAATTATAACGTGCTTTTAGACTCTTGCACAGTTTGTTTTGACAGCAGGTCGCAAGTCGTAACTTAGATCATCCCAAAAGCCAAACTTAGACCTAACGACCCAGCTCTAATGGCCTGCGGGAATTTTTTACGGAAATTCCAATGTTTACGGATCTACAGAGTGTCCATTACCATAAAGTTGGGATAGTAATATTATTAGTTCAAGTTGAGCTGGGTCTGGTCTCATTGTAGAGGATCATTTGGTTCTTGGGTTGATGCTTTGAGCCATTATCTTTTGGTGCAATAAGTTTATTATCAAACTAACTCAACCTGCACCCTGTTGAACCACTAGAACAGAGTCCTTTAATCGATGTATTGGACGTTTAGAAGTAAATACAACTTTGGCTTTAAAAAATCTCCCAGATTGACTTATCCTGAAAAACGCGGGGCTGGGTGGGGGTGGGGTGGTATATTACTGTCATATGTCAAAAAAAAATATATATATATATAGAAATACACCACAATGTCAGACACAAACACGCAGGATGCCTTTTTATTTATTTTATTATTCTTTTACTATCCCTGCCCTATCGCTCCCACATAAAACGTGTGATGTTTATTCTAACTCATCTTTCTTTTGGATGGTGCTAGAGGGGTTGCAGCTCATACAGGCATCAAATATACAGGAATATCGATTACCCGCCAAAGAAACAATATATATACACACTATATATATACAGGAATACAAAAACTAAGATCATTCTATACATCTTAAATCTTCCATTTTACATCTACAGAAGAGTAAAGATTCTGGAAACGGTTCCCAGTTCTCTGGTACAACTCCCTAGAATTTAAAACAGCTGGCCAGGCACCCCCAACCTAACAACCAAGGAACTGCTTTACTAATGGAGCCTTAAAGCACACCAAATAAGGAGTAGCATAACAAATCCCTAGCCACTGGATAATGGAGTTTATTTTTTTCGCTTTATTGCACATGCAATATCCACAGGAGATCTATTTCCCTTGCATTCCTAGATTATCCATACATAGAATAACCTCTAAAGCACTAGTTCAGACAAAGAAAGAAACTTTAAAAAACTTTGCACAACCAGCTTACGTAGAAAAGATTCCATGCCAATAGATTCGTGACATCCATGTAATGAGTCGTCAAATGAGCCACGTTAAGAAAGCCCAAGCTTATACGCATTGGCCCACAGGGTGTCCCAAGAGGGCCCGAATGAAAGACCCAAGGTTACATGAACCATCAAAGAAAGTCCTACAAATGAAGACTTGGGCCTGTCAAGCCTGCTTTCCTCGATGGAAGCCCACAGAAGGGCCAAAGCACAACAAGAGAGCCTACCCATCAAGGCACTCTTACCTTCCAAATGTTTTCCCATGTAAAACTGATGCTCTCCTGCAGTCTCCTCCATGGCTCCACATAAGACCATATACAACGATCCAATTGCAAAATTAGCACAAAACATCCTCCCTCTTGCCACAAAATTGAAGCCCCATACAGAACCCCAAAAAAGACATCCAATAATGAAGAGGCCTAAAAAAGCAAGGCTCCCAAGTATCTCATATCCGTAAACCTAATATAATCACATATTTTGAAACAAGAACTCCTATATCTGCTGCAATGTGAAATATATCCGAGAATGTGGTCTTTACGGGTATATAAGAAACAATAATGTAGAGACCTTTAAAAGCACAAAAGTTGTTAAAAATAAGAAACATGCACATCGGAAAGGTGATCAGGAGGTTAAGAACCTCATTTCCAATATCAATTACGAAGGGAAGGATGGCGTGAATAAAGAAAGGGGAAGGACTAGAAGTGGGAAGCAGGGAGGAGGGGCACTAATTATCTTTGGTTCTCAATGAAGATACGAATTATTACATGGAACGTCTGTGGATTAAATGATCCGGACAAAAGAAAGGTGGTTAAAGTTGCTTTGAAGAAGTGGAATGCCCATGTTATTTGCTTGCAAGAAACCAAGTTGGCTTCTATTTCTGATGCCGTGGTTAGAAGCCTTTAGGGAAGTAGGTTCGTGGATTGGGAAGCTTTGAACGCCTATGGTACATCAGGCGGTATTCTTATTATGTGGGATCGTAGATGGATGTCTAGAACGAATATCTGGAAAGGGCTATTTTCTTTGTCTTGCGTGTTTCAGAGTTAGGAGGTGGTGCGTAATGAGGTAATGGGCACTTTTCAGGAATTTTATTCTCATGGCACATTCGAGAAATCATTAAATGCATCTTTTATAGCTCTTATTCCTAAGAAGAGCAACGCCTCTGACATTAAGGACTTTCGGCCAATCAGTTTAGTGGGGTGTATGTATAAGCTTATTGCCAAGGTCCTTGTTCTTAGAATGTGGACTGTTTTGGATGGAATCATCTCAGAGTCACAAAATGCTTTTGTTGGTGGTAGACAGATTTTAGATTCTGTTCTTATTGCAGGAGAATGTGTCGATTCCAGGTTGAAGAGTGAAGTTCCTGGTGTTTTATGCAAACTGGATATCGAGAAAGCTTATGATCACGTGAATTGGAAATTTCTTCTTTATTTGCTCCGGAGAATGGGGTTCGAAGATCGATGGATAAAATGGATTGAATCTTGCATCTCATCAGTTATGTTCTCTGTGCTTGTGAACGGCTCTCCTGCTGGTTTTTTTCCGAGTTCGCGTGGTTTGAGACAAGGAGATCCTTTGTCGTCTTTTCTTTTTCTTATTGTCATAGAGGGATTGAGTAAATTAATGAAAAAGGCAGAGAATCTGGGTTACATAAGGGGGTTCACTGTTGGTAGAGATGTTGCTAACCAGATCGAGATATCCCATTTGTTGTTTGCAGATGATACCCTGGTTTTCTGTGATGCTGATGTTTCCCAACTCAGATATTTGAGGTGCATTCTTACATGCTTCCAAGCAGTGTCTGGTCTTAAGATTAATGTTGGAAAGAGTGTGCTTGTCCAAGTGGGGGAGGTCTCTAATATTTCCACTTTAGCTACTGTTCTTGGATGTGGAGTGGGTGCCTTTCCACTCCCTTATCTGGGCTTACCTTTGGGAATCTCCTCTAGGATAGTGGGGACTTGGTATTCGGTGATTAACAGGTATGAAAAAAGATTGGCGGGGTGGAAAAACAGTATCTTTCGAAAGGGGGGAAGGTCACTCTTATTAAGAGCACCCTCTCGTCCCTTCCCACATATTTCTTATCTCTATTCCAGATCCCGTGTTCTGTTGCTGAATGAATTGAAAAAATTCAGAGAGATTTTCTTTGGGGTGGAAAAGGAGAGGAGTTTAAGTATCATCTTGTTAATTGGGAACAGGTTTGCAAACCATTGAAGTTTGGCGGTTTAGGTATCCGGAAGTTAGTCCTTTTCAATAGAGCTTTATTGGGGAAGTGGTTATGGAGATTCGGTAAAGAACGTCATCGACAATGGAGAAGAGTTATCTCATGTCGTTTTGGGGAAGAGAGTGGAGGTTGGTCCTCTCGTCCTGTTTCTATTACCGGGGGCGTTGGCGTTTGGAAGTTTATTCGGACAGGTTGGGATGTGTTTTCCACCCATATTCGGTTCAAGGTTCGTAATGGTATGTATGTTAGATTTTGGGAAGACTTATGGTATGGTGATCAGTTGTTGTCTTTCTTTTCCTCGTCTCTTTAGCATTGCCGAAAATAAGCATGCTTATGTAATTGACGGTTATCATCTTGATAACAGTGGAGTTACGTGGGATGTGCGTTTTAGGCGTTCCTTTCAGGATTGGGAGATAGTTGAAGTTTGCGACTTTTTGGACCTGTTGTATAGACAGAAAGATGTTGGCAGAGGTTGTGATGATATTTTGTGGACTCCCTCTTTTCATGGTAGATTCGAAGTTCGATCCATGTTCTTGTGTTTGTCTAATTTTATTGGATATGATTTCCCTTGGAAGTGTATTTGGCGCTCTAAAGCTCCTCTTAGAGTTGCCTTCTTTGTTTGGACTACTACTTGGGGAAATTTTTTAACATTGGATAATCTCCGTAAGAGAGGTAATACCATTGTTAATTGGTGTTGTTTTTGTAAAAATGATGGTGAGTCCGCGGACCATCTTCTTATGCATTGTCCTGTTGCATCTGATTGCTGGAATCTCATATTCAGTATTTTTGGCGTTCAGTGGGTAATGCCTAAGCACTCTTTCCAATTAATTAATGCTTGGAGAAGATGCCCTCTGGTCATGCTCGTGATTTTTGGATGGTCGCCCCACATTGTGTTTGGTGGGGTATTTGGAGAGAGAGAAATAACAGAAACTTTAAAGGGAAGGAATCGTCTTTTGCAAACCTTAAGTCTTTTATCCTACGCTCTCTTTTCTGTTATGTCAGAGGCAGCGCTTGCTCCTCGATCGATGACTTTTTTGTTCTATTGGACTCTGTTGGTCCATAGGTTTGGCTTTTGCTCTTTTGTTTTTGTGTATTAGGGACGCGTTCCCCTTTTGAACGTCTTTCTAATATATTTTTACTTATCAAAAAAAAAAAAAAAAAATGCATTAAGTTTCATGCCAAAACATCATCCTAAATTCATCTCCGCCACAACACATTTTGAGAATTCCCTTCAACCTCCTCACACTCTCCACTCCAATTGCGTAACTCAACTACCATTTGCATAAAGCACTTTGAATAAATTATGAAATCCTCCTCACTCCCAACACCCAAAACTGCAATGAAGAACAAACAGAATCCCGCACAATAAGGTGATATCTGAACTACTCCCCCATGCCTCCCATCTTTCTTTAACTTGTCTCAGCACAAAGGTCCAAATGATGAACATAGACATGGAGTACATGGGCAAACTCGAAGTATAATTAAGTTTACCACCTTTAAAAAAGGATGGCCTTTCCCACACTTTCAATCTCATCTCAAACTTCTCCACCACTGAATCATAAACTGAGGCCAACTTGAACGAAACCCCAAGACTCGATAGAAATTCCCAAATAAGACAATGGTGCAACCCAGATGCCCAGCCAAATTGACCTAATTTTGTTTATTAACTGGAATAATTTTCATTCTTTGCGAGATTAACACGCAACACTTAAAAAACTCCCTCAAAGCATAAAAAGATGCACTGAGTACGTCACAACTCACTCCTCTGTCCCATAAAAGATGATTGAATCATCAACAAATAGATGGTCAGAACTGCAGAAGATATCCTCCCGCTCTATTGATCTCAAACCCCCTTAAGAAACCCCCATCCATTGTTCTCCCAATCATCCTGCTAGGACTTCCATCACTATTATGATAAAAAATGAAGAATGTGGATCCCACTGCTTCAGCCCTCTTGAGCTCACAAAAAACCATCAGGATCCATTAACAAAGATGGAGAAGCAGACTGTCAAAATACATTGACCAATCCAGCTCCTCCATTTGGCTGCAAATCCCATATAGTCCATAAAATAAAAGAGAAAATCCGAATTCACATGATTGTATGTCAACCTTGTAGAGAAGCATCCATTATATATTCAACCTGGAATCTACATTGGCCACAAGAACCAAATCCAAACTTTGACCCCAACAAACGCATTGTGAAAGACCAACAGGCCTGTGGCCTAGCGGTACAAGGCTCTCACTTCCCAAAGAGAGGTCAGGGGTTCGAACCTCCGTGGAGGCAGTGTGTGTGAGTCCCAACTAGGAAAAAAAAAAAAAAAACGCATTGTGAAAGTCAAATATAATGTGGCAAATCACCCTCTTCAAGCTGCTTGCCAATGTCGCGGCCAAAATTTTGAACAAACTCCCAAACAAGCTAAAAGGGTTTAAGTCCTTCATTTCTACCTCCCCCTTTTTCAGGCATGGAAAAAAATGAAGCATTAATGCTTTGTCTGGTAGGAAGGAAGTAAGAAAGAGGTGCGGAGATAAGATAGGAAGGAAGGGACAAACTTCCTTTGATCAGTAGAGAAGAGACAAGGAGAGTAAAGGGATGAGTCATCCTTCCTCCTTTACAAATTTTCATCCTTCCAAGGAAGACAAGTGAAGTTATTATAAAAGTTTTTAATTATAATACTTCCTAAATTATACAAGTTTTAAATTACAATACTATCCTTTATAAATTACAATATTATATATAGGGATGGGTATAATGGTAAAAACAATTTAAAACTCTCTCTTTCTTTCTCTCCTAGTGAACACAGAAAAATTGTGAACCTATTCTCTACTCTACCATCCAACCGAATAAAAAGAGGGAAGGTCACAATCTCTTCTTTAGGGATGTTTCATCCATCCCTTCTTCCCTCATTTCCATCCAAATTTTTTCTTTTCTACCGAACGAAGCATCAGGCTATTTTCGAAGTCTCCCAGTATGTGAAAGATGAAGCACTGCCATAATATAATCTCAGACCACACTCCCATATGTTAAAAAAGGTTCAAGACACGACATTTATCCCTGTTATATTTCTTCAAAAAACATGCAACTCCTTATCATTGGAAAATAGCCTCCCAATAACTCTGCATCCCTTCTGAGTAGCTGCAAAATCAAAACCTTCAAATAAAAGGTCCACTATTTTCCAAATCTTTGTAAAGTCCCCATTGGAAGTACACAATCTCCTCACTGACCTCACCCTCCTCTCCCTCTTGACTCCATCAGGGAACGAAATTTATACTTCTGTCCCCTACTTTAAGCCACAAAGCTTTGGACTTTCATCTACAACTGATCTCCTCCATCAGTGCTATTCTACCCAACTCTACTTTCCTATCCTATATCCAAGTGACCTCATCCAGGGGGTACCCATTTCAACCTTTTCAACAACTAATTGCCCCCAAAGCTTACTTTCTTAACACTTAAACTTGCAAACCCTTCTGTTTGATTTCTTTATATATGCTTTCAGCATATTCAATTCCCAGCTTACACAAAGCTAGGTGAGCCTACCATACTGTATCTCCCCTTCTTCACTGGGTCAAGGAATTCTTCATGTCTCAACCACATATTCACTAAAAGGTAAAACTTTTTCCAACTACAAATCCCATCAAAATCCAACAGAATTAGTTCATAAGCTGACTGACTCTGGTCCATCCCACCAAATCAAGAACCAATAATTCCGTGACATTTCCCTATTGTTAGCCCATATGATCTTTGCACCTTCCAAAGGGGAATATTAGCTTCAATATTCCACCAAAAAGTCCTTGATGGCTGCCAACACCGTCACATACACCTAACTGCTCCATCAAATACTGAATTATATATTAGAGTTATCGTTACGACCGCAAGGACGGTCCACCTGTTTAAACACCTACCAAACCTTCCCGAATTCCAACCGTTGTGGCATTCTGCATCAGTCCATCCTGACAATACCAAAGGGATACCATCTCCCACATTAAAAAAAGGCATAAGAGAAACAAACCCCATTCTTCCATTCACTCCAATAACTATCCCACATTAATGCCCTGTTCGGTAGGACAGAAAAAAATTGGATGGAAGGGAGGGAGAGAAGGGATGGATGAGACATCCCTAAGGAAGAGATTGTGTATTTTCTTCTTTTTGTTCGGTTGGATAGAAGAGAAGAGAATAAGCTTATAATTTCCTATATGTTTGTTAAAAGAGAAGGAAAGAAAAAGTTTTAATTGCTTTTACCATTATATCTAATAATATTTATAATAGTGTAATATATAGAGGATAGTATTTTAATTTAAAAGTTGTATAATTTAGGATAATATTTAATTTAAAACTTCTATAATAGTCTACTTGTCTTCCCTCTTTTCTACCGCCCATTTTTGGGCGGATGAATATTTGTAAAGGAAGGATGGGTCATCCTTCCTATTCTCCTTTCTTTTCTTGTATCATCTCTACCGAACAAAGGAAGTTCGTTCCTTCCTTCCTATTTTCTCTCCACACCTCTTCCTTCCTTCCTTCCTACCGAACACAACATAAGAGAATCGTTGGCTATGACAACTACTCCCAGAAAGATCTAATAAATAAATCTACCTTCACAAAAAAGATCTATAGATAAATCTACCTCCCCAACAGCCAATACTGTTTCTTTGGAAATCTTCTAATCTTTGTTTCTTGCAACAATACCAAATTCTTTTTCCAATCATTCAACTGTGATTTAATCACCTTCCTCTTGTTTGGATCATTTATCCCTCAAACATTTCATGAAAGATGAAACTCGAAGGAGAAACAATGCTCACATCCTTCCCCTTTCCCCCCGCCCCCAACTAAGTCTAACTACAACCATGCTTTCTCCTTCCTTCCATCATAATCAATTGAACATGTTAATTTTCTCAGTTAATTATTCTTTCCAGATAATGATCCTCCTCTCTTGTTCCTACCTTTTATCCAAGCTAGCATACCCCACTTCTAATCAATGCCTTTAAACAAGGCATAGCATTTTTCTCAAATCCTTCGCAGGAAACCCCTAGGCATGAGCTGTGAGTCTTTGATTTTATGCACAACACAAGCTGAGTCTTGCTGTCCTTCTGATAGACTACAGCCATAGACTTTGAAGGGCTAATTCTAATGGGTTAGACCTAAGTCACATAATCCTTCTCAACAGAGCGCGTTCCCGCTCTCACGCTCCGCGCGCGCTTTCGCTCAAATTCTCACTATTTGTGGCTTAATTTTGCGCTTTTGCGCTCCCGCTCCCGCTTTATGTGACTTAGGGTTAGACTCCACATAGAAAAGACATTGCTGATCCTCAAACACCATCAGGTTTGAGTAAAAAGAAACTTAAATTATGGAGCAATCAAATTTTCACTCTGGATCAGTCTGAACGCCTGCACCAATCACCGTCATCCACAAGATCACAGGTTCCACATCAGTAAAAATATTACTCTCCTTTAGACACCACCGTGAATCATGTTTAACTTAGTGGAAAGAAGAAATTGAATTTGTTGAAATAAGAAGACTGGTTTGCATAAATTTGAGAGCACTAATGTTTAGGCGGTTGAATGCCATTGATAAATTACAATACAAGGAACTTAAACATCAAAAAAGGAGATTGGAGTATATGAGACTGACTTTCGAAAATACAATGATTTTCTAACAACAACCAGAACTTTGTCAAGCTCACTCTTCTTATAGAAGTTAAGTAAATACTTTTTGCGATTTGAACACATTTTAATCCCAAAAGATGTGTATGACAAATCATATTTATGCATTTACTCAACAAAGGCAAGAAAGAAATTATTTAAAGTCCTTCTCAAGAAGATGAATAATGATGTTTTTTTAACTAAGTGGGACACTCACTCCTAAACTCTTTCTTATCAAACCTCTTTTTTGTTCCCTTGTACAGCCCTTAACAGGCAGTTTTCATCACATGTTCTTTGCAGTGTGCCTAGAGAGGTTAGGAGTGAGTTGTGCCGGGGCTTGTAGTCCTCCGTCTCCCTCTTCCCCATGCCTATTTGTTCCCCCAGCCCCAGAGAGATGCAGAAATCTTTTTTTTAAAGAAAAAATTGAATAGATAGAGCCATGATATTTTGGAATATTGTAAAGGTAAACAGACTATTTTCGTCCCCTTTTCCGTGTTTGTCTGAGGACCTATGTGAATGCTAGAGCTATGAGTCAGAACAATGTTCACTGATTCTTCCATAGTCTGTCTATGTATTACTGTCTAAGACTTGACAATGAACCACCAAAATATTGGAATAAAATCTTTTCATGTGAGGAAGAGATAATGAGAGGCTTGTTACCATAATCAGGCAAAGGATTGCTTAATTCTGGGTCAAGATAATTTCCCCAGATGAGCTCAGTGACTGCCGCAGAACCCCGCACATCCCCGTATAGATTAGCCTCAACATTCTTTTTCAGTAGTCTCAATCTATCTGGCAAATCAGTAAGTATAACTTGAGCACCCAAAAAAGATGCAATGCAGCTGGAAACACAATAGAAGAACAAAGTACTTTAAGTGAGAGGAGAAATGACTCTTTGGATCAATTGGTTAATTAATATAAGGAAATCCAAATGAAATTATTTTATTTTCGTGTTAATCACTTGTGCAAAGATACAACCAATGAGCTACAGACATGGACTATGGACCCATCATAGGTGTAGATATTCTGACAAAGTACAACTCCTCTAGAAATGGGGTTCAAAGATGGAATCAAGGCTCATAAGATGAAGACTATGATGAGAAATTACCCGACTAATCCACAGCCAGAGCCCAATTCAATAACTTTCTTGCCTTGAAGAAGAATCATATCTGATTCCACAGCATGCTCCAAGAATTTGCCGAGAATAACTCCACTGTCCCACATCACCGCTCCAGTTACTCCAGGAGTGCTCTACATTTAATAATATTGAAAATTCTGTTGAATATATATATATATATAGAGAGAGTATGTGTTAAGTGTAACCAATTTACCATGGAAGAAGGGGATTGGAGAATAGTGAGAGAGCGACCGCAAGCGTCGAGATGGAGTTGGAGAGAGGATTGACGGACGAAGGCGTTGTGGGTGGAGAGAGTGGGCTGCTGAATACCCCACAGTAGCATTATTTCCTCTGCGGCCTCTTCTGAAACCATTCTCACCATCCCACCGTAAGACCCCATTTTTATCATTACATCTTCTTCTTCTTCTTCTACTTCTGCCGCTGCTTCCACAACCTCCTTCTCCTCAATAGCCATACTATCTCCCCCTTTCCTATTCTTTTCTTGGCAACTACTATCTCTCTCCACTCCACTCCGCGAGAGAGAGACAGAACCTAACCGCTCGAACACACCGCGTTTGATATTACTACTAGCATATATTATCTTTTTAGCGTCGATGTGATGCCAATGCAACAATACCGGGATCTTCAATCCCAGAACCCTTACTCTATTTTATTCCTATATTAATTGTTTATTTAAAAAAATTTGACTGTCACCTTTTATTCATTTTCAGTCCTACTACTAATTTCAATAAATTTGACACAAAAATTTTGTGAGTCAAGATTTTAAAGTAAACGATTAATATTGGACAGAGATACTATTATTTATCAGAGTTTGACATAATTTTTTAACCCAATGTTCTTAATTGGATAATGTATACAAGATATAAGTAAGTGAACACGAATCAAAGATGCGGCCATCAACAAAGCCGGGAAGAAGAGAGGAAGAAAAAAATAGACTACTCATGAGTTTTCTTATCCATTATATATATATATATATAAACAATTTTCGGCCTCATTGCATCATTTTTACTTCAGGAATTACCATTACATTGTTTTTGTGGTATGAAACATCAGAAACTGATAATAAACCTGGTACAGTAGTTGGTTTAGGCTCAGTATAGACCAGTTCCAGGCAGTGGAAGCAGCTCAACGTCACTTGCAAGTTAGCAATGACTTTCAAAAATTACTCCCTTACCAGTCCATTCTTCCTTTTTCACATGTCCCAAATTAATTGTCCTCTTTGAAAAGTCAAATCATCTTTTCTTTATATTTCCATCATTGTCCTTTATTTTTTTAATTATATGTCCCCTTAAAAACTCCTATTTCTAAATATGAACATCTATTGTGCGACAGAGGTAGTTGTTGTCAACATGACAGTCCCTGTTTTTAGACTCAGCCTGCACTATTAAGATTTATCATCAATAATTTCCGCATGTAACAACACAGTCGAAACGCACAGAAATGTAAATAAACATATATATTATCCAGGTCTGGAGATTTAATCTGAAAGTTCCAGACAATCAATAACAATCTTGGATTGGCCAGCTACTAATCTATGAGCTCATAATCTGATCCAACATAAATCCACAAAATCAACCTAGACGTAAGATCAATTATAATGAAACAAGGGAAGCAAAAAAGGAATCATTAACTGGTCTTTAATACACAAGCAAGTTATTCAAGAGCAGCAGGTTAACCCACAAAGAAGCTTGGCTGCACATCCAACCTGTAAGAATAGCAAGCAATCCCCTCGCAAATATTTGCGTATACAGGGTTCCTCTGAGCAAATGTTTTTCTTTCTCCTTTCTTTCCCCCCAGCAAAAGTGCCAAATTTTGAAATTAATATTACAAGAAAAGAGTGGACAAATTCTCATAAGAAATATGGTACTCCTGTCCTGGGTCCTCTCATTTGGTTGTTTTCCTCTGTTTCAGTGAAGAACTTCACCTCTCTTTCCTGTTAGAATCAAAAAAACAAAAAGTAGGGCAAAAGGAAGTAAAAACAGCAATCATGAGAGATTATATTCTCCGGATTTACCAAGGCTATTGTAGTATTGGGAACTGTATTAGAAATTTAAAATCAACCCAAACAATACAAATTTCTAATTGAATGCCACAAATTCATTAAATTTTCTATGCCACGTCCATAGGTTAAGTAAAGATCATTTACCCCAAGCAATGAATTCAAATGAACAGCTAATAAACCACAAAGCACAAAGCACAAAGACATCAATATACATACATACATACATACATATATATATATATATATATATACACACACATATATATACATACACAAATATAAAGCTATATAGGGACCAAAAGAAAAAGAAAAGAAAAGAAAGCTGCTGTACATACCAGCCTGGAGCTTTTTGCAAGTGACTCAACTAGAATATAATCAATCACATCAATAGTCCTAGAGGGAGTTACATAGAGCAGAAAAGAACAGCAAGTATTTTCCATAACTTGGGTACAGACAGGTTTTTTTCCCTGTTGATCAGGTAAGTACTCACACACACTTCCCACGCTGGGGCTCAAACCCCTCCCTTCCTCTTTGAGGGTGGGGGGTTATACCATTGGGTTAATCGCCCATTGGTATATAACTTGGGTACAGACAGGTTTTCCCCACTAATACAGCCAACAATGGAAGTTTATGAACTGTCTTCAACCTTTATGGCTCACAATATGCATGGTGCCTAACCAAGGTAGCACAAATATACAGGACTACAGGAGTCTAACATCCCCAACTTGTAAATAGGAACTAAAATTAAGCGTAAGAAGTTGAGTACTAGTACCATATTCTCATTGAAGCTCAATATAGAAGCTACATTGCCACAGCGATAACAATAATTTGGCGCAGACCACACCTGCAAAAGCCAAGGAGCAGCAGTAATATTATTTCAACGTTACAAAATTCTAGTTTATAGGTAATGTAATAAATTGCAAGATGGAGAATTGGCAACTCACAGTTACAAGGCCTTTATCCTGAAACATGTACTTCAGACCTTCCTGCACAAGTTGATGAGCCCGGCAAACCAGATCGAGTTTGTTGATATGATTGAACTGCAGAAACAACAGAAAAACTATAAGTTTTAGCTTCAAACATCTTCAAAATTTAAATGATCAAATTTTAAATTTTTTTTTTTTTACCTCAGAAGTAACCCTGGACCCAAAAAGCCAGCCTGCTCCCCGAGGACTGACTGCCCACGTTTCAATATCTTCAGGGTCACTCCACATAAGGTCACAGAAGGGCCCTTCATGGGGAATTTCACAATTTCGTTCAATGACCCTAATCTGTTAAGTGGGGGGGAAAAAAAAAAACAACAAATGTTTTTTTGTTTTTAAAAAAGAAGAATATCAAATCAATTCTTGAGCCAAAATAATACATAAAACAATTAGACATCATATTCAAAAGAAAAAGAGGATTTATCTGGTAACCAGAGCAAGCACCGAAGTGGATAATTCAAAAATAGATATAAATATTTCACCAGTTAATTCCATATTTTGCCTTTGGATCATTCCAACGTTCCATAACAGCCTTTTCTTAAAGTCAGATTTAATGAAAATGAACTCAATAAAATCCAAACGTTCAAGCTCATCTACCAAGAACATAATGCCCCGTGGCGTGATGAAAAATGTTCAGTAAATAATTTAACCCAGATAACTGATGTTCCTGAATCCCAACAGATAACCAAAAATGCTTCATAAATCACTTGATCCAAAACATAATCAAATGACACAGAGAAGTCATATTTAAACTATAAGAAAATCACATCCACGCCCTTGAGGAAATTCAGGGGAATTATTATTAAAAAAAAAAAAAAAATACCCAGTTACTGAAGCAAAGCAAACCTGGTCAACAGTTCGAATATCAGGAGAAAGACCACCATGGACACAGAGTACCTGAAATTCCAAATAGAGGACATGTTTGATATAACATACAAACCAGCAAGTAGATAAAATCACCTGAGAACATTAGAAGATAAACAGCAAAATAGAAAGATGGCATACCGTTCCATCTATAATTGCTGAGAGAGTTAGATAGTCAAAAACGTCAGTGCAGTACCGCCAAGCATTAGCATTTCCATACTTTCGTTGGCATTCATCATAGAAACCATAGACCTATAAAAGAACAACAATATGATTATAAATCAATAAACCCACAGATCTTCAAAACTCATCATTATGAAAGGTGCTTGCCTTTCGTAATTGTGGGCTAGTGGCATACTACGTTTAACAAGGTTGAAACATCACACAATTGCGCTCCCAAGGATACAAAATGAGATGTTTACTATAAAATTCCGGTTAAATGTAACACAAAAATACAGATGTTCACGAATACATCATGAAAATTAAGCATAAAAAGGAATTAATCTTGAAAACACTAGGAAGAAGGGTAGCAATTTTTTAAAAGAATTTATGCGATACATGTATAATAAGACATGAAACCGTATTCTTATGCGCGTATCATACAACTAAACGTTTAAGGTTCTGAATAAGCAAAAACTTGAAAGATTATTTCAAAGAACAACAAACTAAATCAAAGAAAACTTTCCAAGAGTTTAGTCAAAAAAATGTGTCACCTCTAAAACAAAGATAAATGTTCAGGGGTTCAGTCCAATCAATGTGTCCCTCTTCTTTGAACACTGATCATCTGCCTTATACCCTGGGAGGTTGGTGGTTAAAGCAAGTAGTGAGCTATCTGCCATACTGCCCTGGCTTTCTTATTATTAGTTCTCTGTTTAGTAAGCGGATGTGGAGTTATTGTAAATCTATTGGGTTACTTGGGTCCTTAGGATCCTCTCTGTGGCTTTTGCAATTGTATAGGTCCTGGGATGCATTCCTCTTTTGAACGCTTTCTAATACATTCTTACTTATCAAAAAAGAAAAAAAAAAATCTGCAACAACAGTTGACAATTACCTCCACTTCTGAAATAGAGTTTTTAAAACAGAATAAAATGTGAAATTTTTGAGAAATACAAGGTCCAGGAGTGTTTCTGAGATAGTCAAAACATACACTATGGTAGAGCCAGCATAAACAGATTGACTGAAGGAAATTGTTGAACGGGTATTCTCGTGGCACAAAAATTATCAAAACATAGCAGCAGAGCCCAATTAATCAGACAAGGTCTGATTTTAACCTGGGAAGATGGGTACAAATAATTTATACTTATTTGGAGGATTCAGGAATGCTAAGAAATCATTATTCATATTTTTAATGATGGAGCATTAATTTAGAACTGTTGCTTACTCATTTTTCAACTTGCAATGTTCCAGATCATAGCATCAGGAAGGAGCCTCTGCACTAATCTTTTTTAATATATTTTTTACTACACCAAGAGAAACTAACAGTTCTAGATGCCCCTACTCCCTCCTAAAGTTTCAACTCCTTTCTCTGGGATTATAGATGGGACAGCCATCCAAAGGACAGTGAGCCAGGGGCAGAGCTACATACACGTGAATGAGGTCAACTGGCCCCACTTAAGTTTGCAAAAAAACAAAATGTCTATTCCATGATATTAAAAGATTTGTTGCATTCCTATTTCCCGTATTGGGCCCCTCTAATGTATGTGAAATAATAAAGGTGGGGTCAATTTATATCTAGGTTGAACCTCCTTTTTTTCCTACCCATCCAACACACGCACAGAGAGAGAGAGAGAGAGGGAGGGAGGGAGGGAGGGAGAGAGAGAGAGAGAGAGAGAGAGAGAGAGAGAGAAGGCAAAGAAGAAGGATAAAGTGGGTAAAGAGAGTGGATGGTAGAAGGGAGTTCCCATCCTTGACATAGTCGCTTCTTCGACTAACATAAAGATAAAGACACAAGAGAAACCCAAAAATTATATAGGGCTGTGATTTTACAGTTTTTTCAATTAAAGTAAATCTTTCTCTGTGTTTATTATTATCAGTGTTTTGGTGGTGATGTATAGAAATTAAATTATCAAGATTTTCCTAAAAAAAAAAAAGTTGTCACTACATAGTTGTTGGCTTACCCATTCAACATAACCAAGCTCTGCTCCTGCAATGAGCACCTCTATAGTCTATACCTACTTTTGTTGTATAATCAATCTTGCATATCCCACCCACCCACCCACCCACCCACCTTTCAAAACAAAAGGTAACAAATAAAAAGGGTAAGAGGAAACAAGATAGGCAAAAGGTTGATTTCCTTCTCTTATACACTATTGATACAGTGTTGGTTGTTAAGTATTATATATTGTCCAACTATTAAAACCAATACCATCATTTCTCGTCATGTGACCATAAAAGTTGCATAGGTTCATGCATTCAGCTTTCTGATCGAACTAACTGGGAGTGCAATTGGAATTCTCGATGAATATCGGCTGTCGTGAAATTTTCGATGAAGATACTTCACACCTAACTTGAATACTGCATCTGTTCACCCACAACAGGATGCTGCGTCCAACCCATACCTAGCAATTTAGCAAGTCATATCCAATTTTTTATTTTAATGGAACTAAGAAAAAATTGACTAGAAACGGTACTTTCTCAACCAAAAGACCTGCAGAGACTAGGTAGATATCTCCTAGGCAAGCGAAATTCTTAACCCATGTTCCAATTCAAGACATATTAAATGTGTGTAGAAATGTGGCCCTAGCTGAGCCAAGTGGACCACAAATAATATGTGCTACATGGACATCTCCTTAACTGCCATAAGGAAGGCGTTATTATGTATGTCAGATGGATCTATCCTGTAGCCACCTCTAAGGGGTGGCAATATCATTCCCTTGTAGGTTCTAATTACCAGTATATGGAGTGCCTCTGTTTCATATCAAGACAAGAAGGTCGATCAACAAAGATTTCCCACATCTTCAAAAAATACATCCCCATCAATATATTCTCTGTTAGATCAGAAACCCCCATCTCTGCACTTGGTGCCTTGATGCCTGACTTGGGTTGAATGCAGGCCCAGGGAGTTCAGTGAACAACCACTATTACAGTATGACCCACTCATCATGCCACGATCCTGGTGATCATGGTGTAAATTGAGGCACCACAATGTGGCCCTTACTGAGATCCTTGAGGTTCTGGCTTATCAGCCGAGGTGCGACCCTTTGCTACTCATGTCAGCACCACAACTTGCTTCTTTGCCAATCTTTTAGGAGGAGAGAGTAAAGTGTCCTTCCGGACACATGACACACACAGACATTCCAAAAATACCCCACGTGCCTTCTATGCTAAGTGGCAAGTCCAATGTTCCAGCTAATAATACATCCACCAGGCTCATTTCTCAATCTGACTATTTTTGTTCCATTTGGTCAAGCAGCTTGGCAGGTGCTCCATCTGAGGTAAAGACCTTCCCTATTAAACTACAGAAAACAAGAACAACAAAGGATCTTAAATACTGGAATTCTGATGCCCCTCACTGGAAGACGCATCCATTGTACTATACCACCTCTCCTAACTCTCATATTTCTTTCTCTCTAAATAGCCTCAGTTTTCGTCCCGATATGATCTCCATTATTCCTGCTTACTGTCCTACTAGTTAACCTTCTAGGCAAGAAACTACTCTGCTATCCATAAAGTGGATCTCACAGTTAGTAATAAGATGTATCCTTCTTACACCTACTTCATATAAAATTCATATCTAGCATAGCAAAAAGAGAAAGGAACGCCATAAGATATTAAAATCTTATCAGAGACACAAAAGGACAAAGCTAGAGTCATATGAGAATTACCTGAGTAAGTTGCCTGCTTTCATGATTTCCACGTAGAAGGGTAATGTTAGCAGGGTATCTGACGAAAGCATAAAGCCAAGGGAAAAGGAAGGACATCAGTTTCTTAAAAAGGCATATCAAAAAATGAATTTAAAAAACATCCAAAATACATCAAATTATAAACTCATTTAGACAAAATATATCCAAATTAAGAGAACCTTGTAAGAATAAAAATATATTTAATTTATACAGGAGCAGCAAATATACATAGAAAAGAGAGAAAAAGTCACAAAAAATATCCCGGATCTCCATTAATAATAATTCATCAGTATTGAGTCAATTAAAAAAAATTGTTCTAGAAGCCATGTCCTCAACTACTAAATGTGACAGTTGATTAAACAAATAGAAAGCAAGAGGCTCTTCCACTTGAGTTTAGCAATATATCCAAAACAAAACTTTGTTCTACTGAAGTAGAAGTTTTAGGGGGGAAATGAATAGCGCCTTCTTTTATGTCTTATCAGCATGCATGTCATTTTGCGTGTAGCGCGCAAATGTATCCGCTAATTTTCACATCCTCACTTTTCATCTTTTAAATGGCAAGCTAAAGCACCTACTTTGCAACTACTCTATGCCTTCTGTCTTTCCTTTATATTTCTGACTTCGTCTAAAAATTGACACTGGCTTCAGGCAACAAATTTGACGATAACCATTCCAAAACACACACTCTGAATTGCTCATCAAATTAAGAAGCCTTAAGCAAAAGCAGTTTATTGGCGGTTCATGGTAATTAATCAACCTGCGTAAAAGTTGGAAATGTGCTGCAAGTGATAATCAATTTTAATTTGCACAAGCACGTAAAACAACACTAATACACATAAATTCATATATACCTCGCTTTAAGAAGCAAAAGAATTGTGAAAACCTCAAGACTATTGTACCCACGGTCAACAAAATCTCCCTGTCAAATTTAAAAAGTACTAAAATGCATTAACTGTCGAGTAAAAGACTACCTTAAAAAAATTGCAGATCCAAAATAAGGCAACAGATGGAAAGTGATAATATTAAGTTTACCATAAAAATGTAATTTGTCTCCGGTACATGTCCACCTGTCTGGAAGAGTTTCATTAAATCATGGAATTGGCCATGTATGTCACCACAAACAGTAACTGGACTATTGACAGGCTGCACGTTGGACTCCTCAATCAGGATCTCCTTCACCTGCCAAGCACAACATAGATGATATCACTATAGGGAAAGAACTACAATGAGGACGTGTCCCTATTGAATCATGAGATTGTGAGGCCAGTAATGCAATCCAACCGATGACAGCACAAGCTTAGTGATAACAATCTCATGACAGACTTTCTCATTACTATATTAGGTATGGAAGAAAATTTTCAAAGGCATAACAATTAGAAGTAGAAACAGACGGACAGCCACCATACTCTCAAGCAAACCAAAAATTATGCTGCTGAAAATTGAAAGAATTAATTTTGAAAAGCAGCACAAAATTACAACTAGAAAGTAAATACAATTCAAATAAAATCTATCATGAGGATAACAAACATCTAGTGCTTCACAATAAATTTAGGATCTGACATGAGGAAAGGTAGAATCTAAAAGCCCCTCACCCTAATTGGATATTGTTAGCATTATTCAGAAGTCCAGTCTCCCAAAGCAATTAGGTGTTAAAATCTCTACGAGGCAAAAGCACACATGCCCAAGTAGTATAAAAAATTAGAACCAACAAGACTTAAACCCAACTACTGACTGTTGACTTTGTGAATCAAACAATGATCCATCAAGATTCAAGTTTACTTAACGATTGACTGATAACTATGTTACATAGACTCTTTACAAGTACAGAAACTACTTGCATCAGACACACAACACTTAAACATGGGTGTGGATAAGTATCCAACATTTGGTTGGACATGAACCTAAAAAGTATAACTAACCATTCATTTTGGTTACAAATTTACTTATTTGGTAGATAGACACTATGGACAACATTTTCTACTGTGTTCCCTTCACCTCCACCCAAATGCACACATGCCCAGAGACTCAGAGAGATAAATGTAACCTACAAAACTTATTCACAGACACTCTCTTTGGTTTGGGTTAAAAGATTAAATCATGATTAAGACTGGAATCAATCTCATGTTTGAGTTGCAAACAGAAGAATAAGTAAAGAAATCCGACCCCACCACAACTAACAATTTTCTGTAAAGAAAAAAAAATTTACTTCAATCTAACTACCATAATCATGGAGTTTAAACTTGAACACCCAGCTAATTTCATCGCGACCAGTACCACCATTGGGAATTACCACAACCAGCACTTCAATATCACTGTTAACCAGAAGCCACAACTAGCAAGAATGAGAATCGTCTCCAAACTAAAATTACAGTAGTAAGATCACGAACTCTACCACCATCAACACTTTTGGAGTCACCAATGTTAAAACTTAACAGTCACCACAATCAGCAATCTGTGACCACCACCATTACATCACTTTCAAGACTCCCAAAACCATAACAGCTGCAAACGATGTCTCCAATCTAACGCCACCATCACCACAAGAACCATCATCAGCTTCCAGAACCACCTCTAACACCAATTCTACTTCGAAAGGCAGAAACTTAATGCTGAAATTGATATCTAACGCACACACGCACACTCACAGACATAGAGGGAATATACAGAATCTAGGAGCAGCGTAAAGAACTAGGGTTTAATAAGTCAGCAAAAAAGAAGAAGGATACGAAGCCCTCATATATATATATACACACAGACATACATAATAGTAAATGGAGTTCTTAAAACCCTAATCGTAGAAGAGATTTGATAACAATACAATCCCAGCGATGGGGAGAGAGAGAGGAAATACATACATATTCGCATAAAAGCTGAAGCTCGTCTTCGGACAAATGTTGGCCCTCTTTAACCTTGGAAATCCACAGATCCAAATCCATCATCCCCTTCTATGTATATGTGTCCGAGTTTTCGTGTCTGTATATATATATATATATATATATAATATGTTCTGAAACTGAAAGTGTACTGCAATACGAGGGAGGAGATTGGCTGCTCTCTGAAGCTCTCGCCCCCGAACTCCCTGAATCGACCCAAAGACGGAGAAACAGAGACCGCAGAGAATTTAGATACTATCAAATTATTACTAATAATTAATTATTGGAATTGAGAGACATTTCTAACACTGGAGTTTCGATTTTCATTTCGAACTGCGGCAATTGGTTGAGTCAATTGACTCCCTTGCCCCTAAACAACTTTTGCAATTGTCAAATACCTAGCAGTCGTTTTTGAACTCTGAAACGGGCCCAGCCCGCTTTGAGGCCCGATTCTGTTGGATCCCAGCCATTTTGCCCTTTCTACAAGACAAATAACATCAAATATATATATTTTGGAAACTTGTATTCTTGACTTTTTATTTTGAGAGATAAAAAAGATGTTTCTAGATTTATAAATCTAATGGTTCTTCTTTAGTGTAGGAATGCAAGTTGCATGAATTCATCAACTATTTGGATTTTTTTTTTTTCCTTTTATTACTTGACATTTTATAAGAAAGTTTGGATTGATCGTCAATAATTTGAACCTAACTCAAATTTAAAAAAAAAAATGATTTAGAATCCACCAGTTGGACAACTGTTGAATTCTGTATATTTACTCTTTTTAAAAATAATAATAATAATTTAATAGTAAGTATTAGGTACTTGAGCATAATCAGGTCAACCAGCTCTAAATTTGAACCCCCCAAGTGGTACACAACTAACCCAAACATAATGGATAATAGGACCTTAAACAACATACACAGTTGGTTTTAAGAATAGAGTCGAATTCGAACTGCTGATACCTTAATTCATTCTCTAATCACACAAATTTTTGGAGTGCTATTTAAAAAATAGATGAAATTATGTCTCTGTGAAGATAAATAATTACCTTCAATGGCTATTTCTAAAGATGTATATGAGCCAAGTTTTGCAAGGCCTCTCTCTCTGACTCACTCGCACACTAAAACTCTCGCGCACACACTCTCTCTCTGCCACACAAACACACACACTATAATATGTAATGTAGTAATAATGTACATGTCAATTCCAGGTGATAGATGAAATTATGTCTCTGTGAAGATAAATGTTAACCTTCAATGGCTATTTCTTCATCATGTCTATGTGAAGATAAATAATAACCTTCAATGGCTATTTCTAAAGATGTACATGAGCCAAAATTTGCAAGGTCTCTCTCTCTAACTCACTCACACACTCAAAGCCTCACACACATACTCTCTCTCACACATACACTTGAAAATGTAACGTAGGTACATGTAATAATCAATTCCAGGTGGGAGGTTCCAAAAATGCAATAGCATTGCATGTCTCATTTTCAGACAATTAATATTTAGAAAATACTCAACGTCCTGAGTAATGTGTCTCTCAAACAAGTTCAGTCAGTTTACGCATAAATAATTTTGTTTAAGACTGGACAAAGAGTGAAATAGACCAACTCCACTATTTCTGTCATAAGATATGTAGTTTATACAATACATTACCAGGCCACATTAATAACCACCGTCTATTTGTGCAAACAAATATTAAGACAGGTACAAGATACAGAAAAGGAAACAACAAAAACAACTGTCATTCAATCTCAATCTGTTGTGGGATATCTTCTGCTTTTGACCCTTCAGCATCAATGTCTTCCTCTGACATCCCTGAAGCTTCCACGGTCCTAGCAACCCAATCTTTTAATGGATCTTCATTCAAATCAAGCCTCAGAAGGCCCGCAAACATCCCACCCATGAAGGCAACAGGTTCCTAAATAGAGTAAAAATGATCAAATGAAAACGAAAACGTTGGGAAAAAGCATTACAATTTTGCACATAAGAGTACTTACAGCCAAATACATTATTCAGGTCATAAGACGTATGATAAGAATAACGATAGAAAACCTGAATAGTAATCCCCGAAATTTCACCGAATCTGATGTGGCCAAAGACAGGTAGGATTCATTATATGTCTTTTAAGCAAAGTATTCAACTTCCTCTCTCACCTCACATGACTCGGGTGAGTTTCGTCTTTCAACCGCACAAACTGGATCAAACTCCAAGTTTTAATCGTAGCACACAATGGCATGATTTACAGTTTGGGAACTCGTGAACGAAATTGATAAATGCAAACAAAAATAAACAAAAAAACCGATAGGAAAAAAACAAAGAAAAGGGGTGTGCCCACTGCCTAGTCCCAAAGTGTGTGTTCATGAGATGATGAGTTTCAAATTCTTTTTCTTTTTCTTTTTTTTTTTCTAAAAAAAAAAAAATAGAATATGTGAGAATTTTGAAAATTGTATTGGACCAAATTCCGAATGTCTCAATGTGGATTGCAGCAAACCTTCAGACGCCAAATCAGAACTCATGGGAACGAAATCGATAGATCCAAACAAATAAATAAATATATGTGTAATAATGGAATGCCGTTAAGAAGAAATCTAGCCAATACAAAGCCCCCTCGGTACAGCATTGAAGACGGTCGCCCTGGTGATATCCAATTATCCAGTTCCCAAATTGATATTGATACACTCATCTCTATATCTTATGTGTGTATATATATATACATATATGTTTCTATTGTATATTCTCTTTGCTAATTTTATAATTTTGTTTTCTGATCAGGGAAACAATTTTAGAAGATAATGGCACCTTCATTATATTAGGATTTTCCCCAATTTTCCTTTTATTTCGGCACTTCATTTTTTCTTTCCGTTTTGAGATCATTGATGGAAAGGAGTTTGGATTAGATTATGGGTAAAAATTGGGAGACTGTTTTTCTGCAAACAGAACCCATGTCCTGAGGTTAAAGACAACTATGATTGGTGTAGGACCCACTCAAGGCACGTGAGGAGAGAGAAGAGTTTGAATTTTCACACTTAAGGAATATTTAATGAACTTGACGTGACTTGACCACATGAGATTCGGTGACAATTCGACGATAACCATTCGGTTTCCCTATCACTACTCATATGATAATAGTGAAAGATAGCAGATAACAGAATTAATAGTGTATAATCTAATTCGGCTTTCTTAAACATAATACTGCAGGAAGAATTTATTATATGGTTGCTAGTACGATGGTAGCCAGTAATACATGCGTATGAACACCGAAAAAACGAGACATGCCCAAACCCCATTACATCTAGATAATCACCAAGTCAGGGCTAAATGGTGTCATGGACAAATGGTCAAGGAGGTTTACTTCAACAAACGGGTACTAGTGTGGTAGGCAGTACACTAAGCCCGAGTTTTCGACAGATAAGCTTCTCAAAGATCTAACATACTGATTAAAAGCTAATTTCCGAAGAAACACACAATCGAGGTATCCATCCACCAATACATAAAGATACCATACTCACTTGAAACACACCATATAAGAACAATGGATATCCTTAAAAGAACATCCTCACTACCACCCCATACAGGACAAAAGGATAATCACAGCATGTGACATTGAAGTTGCATGAAACCCAGCATGGAGAAGAGAGGTACCATTCATCCATTGTAGTGACTATAACCAATGGTAAAAAATAGGCAAAATCTTTACACAGCTACTAGTGCCTTTGGCAGCTGACAGTGGTACACCGGATGCATCTCGGATTCTCTACAACTCAAATGTAACCTCAATGGTGAGCACGTCAAAGACAACACCAACACAACGGTGCAGCATTAGCATGTAAGATTGATCTGCAGTTACTAGCCCAGGTACAGTTGAATCAGTTGTTGACACGGTCATGTTGTTCATTCACTCACCTACATATGGGCAGGTGCACCCTTATAGCTGGAAAAAAATCTCCCACCATATCTTCTAGAGCTTTTTATTTATTTATTTATTATTTTTTTTATGAGTATCTTCTAGAGAAATTGTCCTTCCCGCAGAGGCCTGAAGCACAATGATGACAAAACAATAGATGCCCACCCAGCTCCATCATATCCTGCAAACAACCACAAACTGCAACCACTTTAGACATGGCCCAAATCAGTAGCACCACAGTTCCATTAGCAATAGTTTGGATTTGGCTCCAGCTCCATTTATTGTGTTTTAATTTTTTGAGTTCAATCTCAGCTCTGCCTTTTCGGGGTGATGACATTGTGCACGCCTGCACGTGAAACTTCAACACCTTTTGTTCGTTGTAGACTTTTAGTGATTCTAGTTAATTGTGGCTTGGTATACTTGCGAATACTTATTTTCAATCATGGCTTTGTTCTTGCAGCTCATCCGAAAATTTCCTCTCTCATTACTGGATTTTCGATGCAATGAGCTTTTACCTTTTGATTGTCTATTTGCTACACCTGTCGAGCAACCTCAAAAATCTTACAACCTCCTATAAAATGCTAGTGTCATTTAATGCTGATACTCAACTTTATCAATTAATTTTTCACCATAACTCCTACAGAGATGGTACTCATCAGATATTAGAATCTTTACTCCCCAGTCCCAACAAATGCTCTATTGCCAGACCACTGAGAGAGAACCAAATAACAACTAAAAGAGGGGTAAACCGGTAAAGACAAATACATGACCTAGATGTACTGATAGGAAAGAAACTCTTCCATCACCTCCTGATGCAGTATTTGCACAAATTGCTACCTCATTTTGGACCCCCTTTATTACACTTGACAGCCTTGTTATACTTCACAACCTGACTTAATATTATATTATGTGTAAAGCTTGACAATCTGAGCTTGTATCATGAATAAATATAAATAAGAGAATGAAAATAAAGATGAACTTGAATTTCCAAAATAGCACGGAAATAAGCAAACTAAAATTTGAAATAAGTAATAAGCAAACTAAAATTTGTTTATTACTAATTTTCTCATACACAAGTGGAAATCCAAATATTAAAATGGGGCAAACAAATTCAAAGAAATATCTCACCCATAAAAATGTACACACATTCATGTTTTGTCTAGTAGTTACTCGAACATTAATGTTGAAACAAATATAATAATTGGCCAATATGAGGAAACAGAATACTTATGCAATCTTATACATGATTTATATGCACCAATAAAAAGGGAAAAGAAAAAGGAAAAAATGGTGTCTCAAAGAACACACTGCACTGTAATAGAAAGACATGAATGTGATATGATGAAGGAAGTGAGACTAAATATCTTCAACATCTTCTACGATATACACAATGATACGTGACAGAGCCTTTAAAAAGGAGATTAAGGCTTCCTTATGATTAAATATGTTGTACTAGGGAGTAGGGATTTAATCTTTAGGGGGTTTAAGGATGGATTAGGGCATGAACTGGCTGAGGTTTAAGGCTGATTGTATGAAACTGGAATTTTTGAACAGAAAGAAAGAAGCAAGGTTTGCGAGCTAAAATAAGGCGGGGTAAGATACTGATATAAAGGTTATAACAGAAGCGCTTTGCTGGAGCTCACCTAACCCATCCTTTATGACATAAACTTTGTGAAGATGTTGACATAGAGGATATCTCCAATAGGTCCCACCACCAAAATTCCAGAGTGTAATGCCTAAGATGTACACAGGTGACATTTTGATTTACATTATTTAAATTGCTCAATCAACACTGCCAATGTACACAGGTGACATTTTGATTTCCATAATTCAAATTGGTCAACCAACACTGCCTCTTTAACTTGAAAAAGAGCATATAAGCATAAAAGTAGACACCACTGGAGATAACACAGTAGTCACATGCTCCCCATTAACGTGCACCATGTGATTGAATCATATTTTTTTATAAGTAAATGTGCATTATAAACAAATGTGCTGGAGGAAGTAACACATGCAACAAACAATGTTCATAAAAGTATGAACTTTCTACAGCTCAACTAATTTATAAAATCTACAAAGAGTAAACCATCTGAAAAAGTGCAAAAAACCAAAAAAGATTTTCGTTGAATTTTACCCTGCTTTAACCGTTGTATGTACCTTAGATTTTTAGAGTCTTAGAAAATGCTATTTGGTTGTTGGTCCTTGACCATTGCTCTTGTTGCAAGAAAACTGGAAAGAAGCTAAGTCAATGTAAATATGATTGAAAGGGTGAATGGGTGAATTAAGTACCATGACATTCGATTAATTTGTATTGGGAAGTCAGGATTCACAGCTTAATATAATTTCTATATTTGATGTGTGGATAAAGGATAAAATTGTGAATTAAGTGCCAATATGTTTGATTTGTTAAGCGTCCTATGAGCTTTAATTCATCCCATAATCTTAACTGTTGGGTTGACACTCTCCTTATGAACAGGAAAGATGAATTTATTATTATTATTATTATATATTCATGTTCACTAGAGCAATGTCTAAACTAAAATCTATTCAAGAGATGTATATATGTGCTTGTGTGTCTGTGTACGCGCTCGAGCATGTTGATCACACAGAGTAATTTAACCAGTATAATAAGCACCTTCAAAGGAAGATGCACGGCGCTTGAATTGGGTGGTCTAAAAGAGTAACCAATTTAAGCGCTTGTTGATCATATGCACTAATGGAGTAATATTAAAAAGTCCGTACCAAGGGTTTACTATTTTGGTCTTGGTAGTCCTCTCTTTAGTTATAAATTTTTAAGTGTAATTTGTCTATTTGCTATGAGTGAGTGACCGAAAAGGAAGTTTCTATATACAACACCAAATGACAATTAAACAAATATTAATTGATGTTGTGGAAGGAACCCTCTATTGAAATTTCTTGCTTCATCATTTGAATATAATTTGCATCCATTAAAAAACTAATTAAGCATGTTTACTATTGGAAAATAATCATATATATATGAGATTTTCATCCATTAAGAAACACACCATTCAACAAGAGGATGCCTAGTTTTTCACATCTACACAGGGAGGCAGATCGATACAGTTGAATTTCAGCATTTGCAATGAGAACAATTGTACACCATTCTGCCTATATATGTATTAAAGATACAGTAAAATGAATTGGCAAGAAGTAAGAATTAACACGGTAATTAAATTGAATACTATCAGTACTTCCCACCATTTAGATTGCTGAAAGAACTGTGGAAAATTAAAGAAAATTAAAATTTGAATAGCATCAGTTATTTAATTCAGTTTTCAGAAAAAAATTAAAGAGGAAAGAAAAAGTAAAACAACCTCAGTAAAAGGTAATAATACCTCGAAAATTAATTAATTTGATTTTTTTTTCTCTTTTTATGTTCTACACCAAATAGAGTAGTAGTCAATCCAAAGTTTATCAAAATAATTTTATTATTATCCTTTAAATTACCTTAAGAGCTTCTTTGATAACGGGGTCATCTTTGGGATTAAAGAAAAATGCCTTAACCCGAGTATTACGCCTTGGTGATACTGATGATGATGAGAGCTGTTTTGGTACAGCTCTTAACTTCCACTGCCACAGATTCATTCATCAGTACAGATATGAGGAAAAACCATAACTTACAACTGAAAGGATGAAAAAAGAAACAAGGACTAATAAGGAAATGGATGAACTATATCGTGGGTGTGTGGGCGTTTGCTTGAACAAAAAAACAAAAGAAAGAAAATAAATGGGTGAACAATAAGAGGGATATCCAGATGCATATATATATATACATATACATTTACATACATATATATATACAACTGTGGATGAAGGAATTCTATACCAGTGAACATGATGCGGAAGAACACTGAACAAAAAACATCTCAACTCAGCTTTTGTTTCTTTTATTGCCCTATAGAGAGAAAATTTTCACCCATAAATAATTGACATCCTGGAAAGATAGGGTTTTTTTTCTTTGAGCAACCTCTCTCCCACCATTTCCCAATTATTTATATCTTCTATTAGGGTTTTATTCGGTTTCACAGGATTCTAGAACAGTTGAATCACAGAGCCCAGTGCACAGATTTGCTGTGTGTCAAACAGAAAGATCGTGAATTTCGGTTACCATATGCCTGTAATATTCTCTCGATTAGATTGAACAGTATTTTCTTCTCAAGTTGCGACTTTTTTTCTATCCATCTTTACAACATAAACATTAATAGGGAATTATATACGTGTATATTAAATCCAATTCGTTTGGTGAAAAAAACCAAACGATTCATACAAATCTTTTGTGATGCAGAGAATTTGGAGAACACTAGAGAGAGAGAGCTTACTAGGGAACATGATGCAGGGGAAATTAGAACTGCAGACATCATCATCTGCTTCTCCTTTTCCGATTGTCGATATATGTATGTATGTGTGTATGTATCTATATATGTACTGTAGGTATGGTATTTCAACTGAAGAACACCACATAGAAGATGGGTGTTAACTGTCCACTGTGCATTCAACAGTTCTAACTCACCACATTGGGCTTAGCCCTTTTTCTTTTCTATTGGTCTGGACCTGAAGCTGGGCTATTATTACAGCTACTGTTTCTGGAAATGGGGCTTCTTCAGTAGTTGCAGGGGCCCTCATCGTTTTCTCAAATGAAATTTCGGGGCAACAATGTTGGGTCCGTTTGGAATGCATTTTGTTTTTGGTGTTTTATTTTTAACAAAAACAGAATTAAGATTTTTGTTGTAAGAGTGTTTTGTAAAGAAACATTTCGGAATGATATTTTGTTGTGAAAATATTTGAAACAAAAACATGCAAAACCCGTTTGGTCACTACAACTGTTGCCAGAAAAAAATAAAACTGAAGTGAAAAAAAAAAAGTCAGCCTTATCTCAGGACCTCAGCTGACATGAAGTTGTCAATCTCTCTGCCTCCGTCGTGATCTTCGTGTTCCTCGTCATCGGAGGCGAAATGATCGGCGTCGTTGGCAGCAGAAGGAGGGGATTTGCGGTGAATTTTGATGAGGCGTTCGAGAGCTTGGTCGAGGTTGCACTTGTGGATGTAGAAGGCAGAGACTGCCATTACCGACGCTCCGAACAAGGCTGCTACCGCAAGATGAAGACTCCATTGTTCTGGGTTTGGTTTGGTTTGGTTTGTGCTGTGTTTGGGTTTTGTGGGGTTATTATACTGGTTTGGTTTTGTGTGATCTGGGTTTTGTTTGTATCCAAATTAGATTTTACAGAAATTGGGGTTTTAATTTCAATAAAAGGTTTCAAAAAATCTTCTATCTTTGAAACTAGCACTTTTACTTTCAGCAAATGGTTTCAAAATTTTGGCTTTGCCAAGAGTGGAATCTACCTGAGTTAGATTGCATATTCAACTTCAGTGACCAAAAATAATTCAGAATTTCCAATTATGAAAACATTGGCAGCCATGGTTTTATTTCGGAGCACTAAAGTAAATATATCATGTGTCACTAGGGTTACTGGTTGAAAGGAAAAAGACGAAGACGATACTGGTTTGTTTCTGTGTGATCTGTGTTGTATATGTTTTAAGTTTGAATCCAGCAAATCAAGCTTCCATAGGTGTTCTATTTGATCAAATCCAGTAAATTGAGGGCTCAACTTCGATCGGTGATGATGAATTTTTCTGAAATCACCCTTGAATGGCAGAGAGAGTATTGGGAGAAGAGAGAGAAAATTTTGCCCAAAATGACCTAAAATGTTTATATACCTGAAGTAAGTATGTTTTTGGTGTTTCAAGTTTTGAGGCTTTTTACAGAAATGTTTTACAACTGTGCAAAACAAAACATAATCAACCAAACATGTTTTGGGCTTCATTTGGGCTACTGTAGCGGGCCTGAAACAAAAACAACAAAAACAAAATAGATACCAAATAGGCCCGGAATTACTACTTAGTTGTTGTCATAGGGAAGGGGAAGGGGAAGGGAAAAGGGCAAGGTTTGGTACTGGGGCTCCCAAACACAGGCTATAACTCAACCTCCCGGGCAATACACACTTGCAAATGAAATATAATATAATTAAAATAAAGTAATGCTATTATCAGGTCTCCCTCACAAGGTTTCTCATGAGCTTTTTTTTTTTTTTTTTTTTTCGGTCATGATTATGTACAAATTTTGTAGCACGAACACTACTAGTTGAAATAGGACTAAATAAGGATTGTATAGTTAAAATTTCGTTCAAAATTTCATTAATGGTAGATCACACGAGTTGATCAAAATTAATAATGTAATTTAGACAAGAAAAAAGAGTGTAAAATTTTGACCAACTTGTGTGACGTACTGTTAATGAAATTTTGAACGAAATTTTAACTATACAATCCTCATTTAGTCCTCTTTCAAGTAGTAGTGTTCGTGCCTCAAAATTTATACATAATCATAGCCAAAAAAGGGAAAGCTCATAAGAAATCTTATGAGAGAGACCTCATAATAGCATTACTCATTAAAATAATTGACAATTTTGCAATACTTTTATTTATTTAACTCATCTCACTTTTATACATCAACTCACCAAGGGCCTTGTGACCTGGTGACTCTACCTCTCAAAGCGAATGAAGAGAGTTCCAGTTCTCAAAGGGACAAATTGGGTGTGTGACTGTGATTATGTTTTTCGATCTTGCCAATGAAAAAATAAAAATTTCACTAATATACCAAAAAAAAAAAAAAAAGTTATACAAGGATGCTTAAAGATAAAATAAATGTTATAATATATGTTTAAAAGGCAAGAAAGGGATACATTCAATGTGAAAAAAAACTCATAGAAATAGGTAGATGTGTGGTAGTTGAGCGAGTCCCACATCGGTAAGTGAATAAGAAAATTTGGGACTTAAGGGTCACTCTACCTAATAGGTTAACCTTTTAGGTTGGATATTCACAAGCCCAATAACTGGTGTTAAAGCCAGGATCCTAAAGAACCGCATATGGACTCAAGAATGTACCCCTAGTTGGCAACTTGGCATGGTAAGACCAGTGACGTTCTATCCATCGGGGTAAGCCTCGTTCAAGGGGTTACTCCTCCTAATAGGTTCACTTTTTGGGTTAGATACTATAACAAGGGTCATTTGTCCCACATCGAATCCGAATGGGAAAGTGATTAGATATAAATTGGTAGATAAGCAGCACTACCCAATAACTTGAGCTTTTGGGTAAATGGCAAGTACCCACCTGTTACAGTTGGTATCAAAGTCAGACCCAATCCTTAATCCGGTGTCACGCCAAGCGTCCGGCCCGAAGGGCGTCTGGATTTGTAGCCCAAGTAGGCAAGATAGCCCTAGTGGGGGAGAATGTAACAAGGATCATTTGTCCCACATCGGATCCAAATGGGAATGTGATTGGATATAAGTGGGTGTGTATGCAGTAGTACCCAATAACTTAAATTTTTAGATAAATAGACAAGTGCCCACCACTTACAGATAACCACAAACCCAACAAGATGAGATAACTAGAGTTCTTGAATTTTTATATTTTCTCTGAAGTTTATTTTCTGTATAATATGTGGGTAGGCTCCACTTCATAATTATAAATTGGAGGCATATAGATACTAAGGCGATTATAGTTATATGGAAGGCTGGTATTAGCCCAATGATGTGTTTTGAATCCATTGGTATGATGATGTATATGTAATACATCAACTTGCTGTATTAGGCGGTGGGCGCCGAAATCAAGAAGCAATCAATACTGAGGCAGTGCAATTCTTCTATATATATATGTGTGGTAGTATGTTGTAGAGATATTCTTTCCAAGTAATAAAACTTCCTTTTGGGTAGGTGTCTATATATGTTATATTACACTTCTTTCTTTGATAAGTCTCTCAATATATTTATTTATATATTTCTTTATTTATATATATTCATAACATGTTATCAGCACGACGCTCTAACCAAGTGAGAAAAAAAACTCTATTTTTCTTTATCACACCAAAGGGTAAGAAAATAAATTCTATGTCAGAGTGAGAAGAAAATTCTATTTTTCTTTCTCACACCAATGGGTAAGAAAATAAATTATATTTCAGCAATTTAAATATTTTAATAATAATAATAATAATTATTATTATTATTATTATTGTTATATACATGTATATAAAAATGTAATAGTTTTGTCTATTCTCCTTCAGCATTCTCTTTAATAATAAACCATTTTTTCATATTATGATCATTTTAAGATTGGAACATATATAATTTTTTTTAACTATGTTATTTTATCATTTACAGTATCCCGACAAAGCTTGAATTTGTTACCCTTGATATTTTGGGCAAGAATTATTTATCGTGGATCCTTAATGTTGAGATCCACTTGGATGCAATGAATCTCAAAAAATACAATTACAGAAGGAAATGAAGCATCTCTGCAAGATCGGGCAAAATCAATGATTTTCCTTCGGCGTCATATCTATGAGGAGTTGAAAAGTGAGTACCTCACGGTTAAAAACCCACTTACACTCTGAAAAAATTTGAAGGAACGGTATGAGTATCAAATGACTGTAATCCTTCCAAAGGGCAGATATGATTGGATACACCTGCACCTGCAGGATTTCAAAAGTGTGAGCGAATATAATTCTGCCTTATTTAAAATTAGCTTACAATTTATGTTATGTGGAGAAAATATTATTGATGAGGATACGTTGGAACAAACTTACTCCACATTCTATGCTTCAAACATGTTCCTCCAGCAGTAGTATATATCTAGAGCGTCAGTTCACTAAGTATTCAGAGTTGATTTCATGCTTATTGCTGGCCGAACAAAATAATGAACTTTTATTAAACAATTACCAGTCTCGTCCGACCGGATCGGATCCATTACCTGAAATAAATACATCCTCATTTCACGGTCGTGGACATGGTCGTGGACGTAGTAGTGGTCGCGGTAAAAATAATTACCATAACCGTAGTGGTTATTATTCCTCAATGTCTCCTGGAAGGAGCTACTCATTGTACTACTGGGAGGGGAATACAAGTGATAACAAGTAAGAAAAAATGAAAGGCTTACAAGATAAACATTCTAAAAAGTATGAAAATGCTTTTTATATGTGTGGCATGAATGGGCACTAGTCACAAGTCTGTCGAACACCTAAGCATTTAGTCGATCTTTACCAAGCCTCAATAAAAGGAAAAGGGAAAAAAATTGAAATAAATGTTGCAGAAATATGTGAGCCATTGGACATTGCTAATTTTGATGTTTCAGATTTCTTTGAAGATCCAAATGGTAAAATTGATCATTTGAGTGGTGATGGAGATGTCCACAACAATTAATGATCATCATCTTCTTTTTTTCGCTAGTGTGTTATTTTTCTTTTGTTGTATTGTCACTGGTGTGTTAGTTTTCTTTTATTATATTATCGCTGGTGTGTTTCTTTTATTGTATAATAACTAGTGTATTTTTTCAGTGTATTTTCATCTATATTTATTCTAAATTAGTATGTATATTGCATATTTAAAGAGGTATGAATTTGACTAATGCAATGATTGCATGAGCCCAGAAAATAAATGATAAAGATATAT